CTCGTTAAGTTTGTTTCTTAGATACTATATGCAATAGGTCAACTATATTTGACCCATGGAATGATTGTAAGGTGTACATGTCTGTATGGCAGGGTTCATCTGACCTTGACCTCATTTTCATGGTTTCATTGGTCAATATAAATTTTTCAAGGTTTGGCCTGTTTCTTGTATACTATAAGCAATAGGACAACTATATTCGATGTATGGTATGATTGTAAGGTGTACAAATATTTCTGGCTTGGTTTATCTGACTTTGCCCCCATTTTCTTGGAGCATGTTAAGTTTATGTGATACATGTAGTAAAACTTCATATTTAGGACTATCAACATAAAATCAATGCTCAGTAATTTAAAGCAGGTGAGACATTTCAGCGTGTGCACTCTTGTTAATAGACAGTCAGTATCCTATAATGACTGTTTGTTCTTTTTTTTACTGTCAATACATCCTGTAATGAACAATTACTCTTTATAGATTGTCAATATCCTGTAAAAAAACAATTGTTCTTTGACTATCAGTATCCTGTAATAATTGTTTGTTCTTTATTTACTGTCAGTATCTTGTAACCGCTGATAGTTCTTTATTGACTTTCAGTATCCTGTAATGAATGATTGTTCTTTATTTACTGTCAGTATCCTGTAATAGGTGATTTTCCTTTTTTGACTGTCAGTATACTGTAATGAATGATTGTTCTTTATTAACTGTCAGTACATTGAAATGAGTGATTGTTCTTTATTGACTGTTGGTATACTGTAATGAATGATTGTTCTTTGACTATCAGTATTCTGTAATGAATAATTGTGCTTTATTGACTGTCAGTATCTTGTAATGACTGATTGTTCTTCATTGACTGTCAGTCACCTGTAAGGAATGATTGTTTTTTATTGACTGTCTGTATCCTGTAATGGGTGATTTTTCATTATTGACTGTCAGTATCCTATAATAGGCGATTTTTCATTATTGACTGTCAGTATCCTGTAATAGGCGATTTTTCTTTATTGACTGTCAGTATACTGAAATGAATGATTATTCTTTATTGACTGTCAATACATTGAAATGAGTAATTGTTCTTTATTGACTCTCAGTATCTTGTAATGACTGATTGTTATTCATTGACTGTCAGTCACCTGTAATGAATGATTGTTTTTTATTGACTGTCAGTATCCTATTATAGATAATTTTTCTTTATTGACTGTCAATATACTGTAAGGAATGATTGTTCTTTATTGACTGTCAGAATACTGTAATGAATGATTGTTCTTTGTTGACTGTCAGTATCCTGTAATAAGTGATTTTTTTTTATCGACTGTAAGTATTCTGTAATAAGTGATTGTTCTTTGTTGACTGTTAGTTTACATAACTGTAACGAGTAGGTGATTGTTCTTAATGGACTGCCAGTATCCTGTAATAAGTGATTGCTCTTTATTGACTGTCAATATACTGAAATGAATGATTTTCTTTATTGACTGTCAGTATACTGCAATGAATGATTATTCTTTATTGACTGTCAGTATCCTGTAATAAGTGATTGTTTTTTATATACTGTCAGTATTCTGTAATAAGTGATAGTTTTACATAACTGTAATGAGTAGGTGATTGTTCTTTATTGACTGTCAGTATCCTTTAATATGTGATTGTTCTTTTGTACTGTTAGTGTACTTTAATGAATTATTGTTCTATTGACTGTCAGCATCCTGTAATGCAAGTTTGTTCTTTATTGACTGTCTGTATCCTGTAATAAGTGATTGTTTTTATACCCCACGCAATGAGTTGCGGAGGGTATAATGTTTTTGACCCATCCGTCCGTCAGTCCGTCCGTCCGTCAGTCCTGTTTCTTGTCATCGCAACTCCTCTCAAACCACACAACAGAATTTCAAGAAACCTTTTTAGATAAAAAGGATATATTATGTAGTGTTGCATATCGACAGGAAATTACAATTCAATTTTTTTTCTAGGAGTTACGCCCCTTTGAACTTATTTGCTTCAATGTACTACTGCAACAGTTTGTCATCTCAACTCCTCTGAAACCACACAACAGAATTTCATGAAGCCTTTTTAGATAATAAGGACATACTATGTAGATGTGCATATAGACAGGAAATTACAATTCAATTTTTTTTCTGGGAGTTATGCCCCTTTGAACTTATTTACTTTAATGTACTACTGCAACAGTTTGTCATCGCAACTCCTCTGAAACTACACAACAGAATTTCATGAAACCCCTTAAGATAATAAGGACATACTATGTAGATGTGCATGTCGACAGGAAATTACGATTCAATTTTTTTTTATAGGAGTTACACCCCTTTGAACTTATTTGCTTTAAGGTACAACTTCAACAGTTTGTCATCTCAACTCCTCTGAAACCACACAACAGAATTTCATGAAACTTTGTAGATAATAAGAACATACTACGTAGATGTGCATATCGACAGGAAATTACGATTCTTTTTTTTTTCTAGGAGTCACGCCCCTTTGAACTTATTTGCTTCAATGTACTTCTGCAACAGTTGTCATCTCCACTCTTCTGAAACCACACAACAGAATTTCACGAAATTTTGTAAATAAGAAGGACATACTATGTAGATGTGCATATTGACAGGAAATTATTATTCAATATTTTTTCTTATACAATTTTTTTTTGTTACACTTATTTAATTTCTCCAATGACAATGTGGGGACGTGGGGTATGTGAGCGTGCTCACTAAGGTTCTTTAATTATAGACTGTCAGTATTCTGTAATAAGTTATTATTCTTTGTTGACTGTTATTGTAAAACAATAACTATAATGAGTAGGTGATTGTTCTTTATTGACTGTCAGTATCCTGTAATTAGTAATTGTTCTTTGTTGACTGTTAGTTTACTGTAATTTAGTATATATTTTTTTTATTGACTGTCAGTATACAGTAATTAATGATTGCAGTTAGTGAATGATTGCACTTAATAAACTGTAAATATGAAGTTAAGATAATTTGTTTTGATGACATTTAGTGTCTTGTGTAAGTGTTTATATTCCAGATACTGATAATATTTCCAAATATATGTGGTTTCTTCTATCTATCGTTGATACATTGAAATTTTAGGAATAACTGAACTTGATTTATTTTCTTTTTATATAAGGAATGGTTGTACTTTATCTATTGTATTAATAATTAAGTAAATGAGATCTGTATGTGCTTGGTCGTAAAAATACAATTTAACTGACAATAAAAGTCAGAAAAACCTGCTACACCATTATACATTGAAAGCTCAAAAATAAAAGAGATTAATTTCTCTGTAAGCATGAGAATGAAATGTAATTCTCTTCAGCAATTATGATACAATATATTGCTCTGAGATATTTGAAATGTAATGATTTTTTTTCAAAATAATGTCAGCTGTACTCTGATTTCTGTTTACTCTTGCGAGGAGGAGATTTATTGACATTTGTGTTGCCACCTACGATATGATGCTCTAGTACATAAGGAGCATCAATTAATAATCCAATTAACTTTGTATCTGAAGTGTGTTGTTTCTTCCTTCTTTGCTGTAAAGTTAATTGTATAAGTGGCATTTTATATTCTCCACTTGACTCCATTTGGTGAAGGGACTTTTATCATTGAATATGTGAAGGAAATGCTTGTAGAGATCAGAATGACACTCATTAGCAGTTGTTTTTTTAAAACTTAACTTATAAGCTAGGCCAATAAGGAAGTTTTATGAAAATAAAATATGTAGTAAAAACAGATGGTTAGTCTTATAGTAAATGCATAATGTATTAATTAGGTCTCACTGTATGAAACAGGATATGATTTTACTGTATGTCACAAAATGGATACATACCTATTTATTAAGCAAATATGTATTTTTTTACATTTTGAGATAAACAATCATAATTCAGTGGTTATCATTTGTTGCTGTATATTATATTTGTTTTTTGTTTATTGTTTTGTCCATAAATCAGGCCTGTAGTTTAGTTTTCTCGTTTGAATTGTTTTACATTTGTAATTGGGTCCTTTCATAGCTTGCTATGTGGTATGGGTTTTGCTCATTGTTAAAGGCCTTAGGATGACCTATAGTTGCTAAACTTCTACGTCATTTGGTCTATAGTAAAGAGTTGTCTCATAAGCAAGAATGCCATTTTTTATGCCCCCGCCGTAGCATCATCTGTGTCCCTATGGACACATTCCCCATTTGTTTTGTTTTTATAAAAATGAAGTATATATATTGTATGTAAAGTTTCGAGAGATTTCATTAGGTAGATTGCAATGCATTATCCCTATACTAAAAATCCAAGTTGAAACATTGTCTTGAAAATACATTGATTTTTGAGTTATCAAACTCAAAGAAAGAGTATTGGAGAACTAAATGACTAACTACATTACAGGTATAAATCTTTATGAGGCCACCCTTAAAAATTCTTTGTATGATGTTGCCTACCCATGCCTTGTAGGTTTGGGTAGGTAGGTAGGGATTTTATTTTTTTGACCAACAACATAAGTAACATGTTTTAGACAAGAAAACGATGTAAGAGCAGGAAAAAATCTTTCAAAAAAAATTTGAACTCATTTGTGTCATAAATTTTTTTTTGGGTAGCCTGCTATTTAGTAGGGTAGGTAGGCAGCATCAAACAATTTAAATTTTATTTTTGGCCTGAACAGTAACCATCTTTTACATCATAAGTTTTACATAATATTCAATATTAACTGACCTTTTTATGATAATGATGCATCAACCAATGTACATATACATTGATTCTAATTAAAATATTTTTATCTTTATATTTTTAAAAAATGCGACCTTGTCTTGTCTCCATTTCAATGTTAGCAGTTAGTGGTGTAAATGAATGTTTAGGCCCAAATAAAAACAATGTTAATTAGAAAGTCTTACCTACTCTATTTTTGTATGCCTCACAATGCTTACCTATAAATTGTTATTGATAGTGAATTGTGAGAGACTTTCAATCTTATAACTTCTATAAGGAGAATATAAGTTAATTGATTACTGTAATTTTGTAATTACAGGCTGGCATTGGATGTACTGTGTCTTACAGCTCTAAACAAGGTAATTATGCACTAAAGAGATTCATCTGTTTTTACTCTGTGGTCTACATTTCATATATCTGTAGTTATAATAGGATCATCTAAACTTGTGTAAATATGAATTATTGGGAATAGGTCAGCATCAAGCCAAAATAGATCACTGTAATCTACATTTCTCTCTACCTTGACTATGTTTAAGTTTAACCTGAGAGTTCATTTCTCAGTAAATATATATACATTGTATAAGTAATAGAATAATCTCAAGTAGATATTCAAACATTTTTGAGAGTAGGTCAGCATCCAGGTAAACATATGTCATTGTAACTTGCATTTCATACTGTATTGACCTTCAATACGTTTTTCATCTGTTTATATCTTGGTAAATATAAATAAAAGGATCATCTTAAATTTATTTAGAGATGTATTGTTGGCAGTAGCTTAGCATCATGGCAGAAATAGGTCACGATGACTAAGATTAAATGCTTTATTGGTCAGAAAATCATTTAAATTATGAAAAGATGCATCTTTGTGAGTAGGTCAACTTCCAAGGCAAATTAAGCTACTATGACGTACTGGTATATACAATGTTTTCTAAAATTTAATCATTTTAACATAATATGAGGCAGGTGCTACCTGATGAGCTGCCAAAGGTTGGTGCATGTTTGTTTTAGTAATTCTAATTTTCGCCATGTTGTTGAAGCTTATTTAGCATTATAGTAATAAGTACCCTCCTGTAGACTAAAATCAATCCTTCTACAAGTTATGCTTTCCTTTAAAGCATATGATACAGAATGACACAAACTTGTAGGTTACTATGTTAAACATGTTGGAGTTCTTGAAAAAATAGTGAAAATAAATCTATCATTTCTTGGTCTACTTTTTGATGACATGTTATGTACGGCTCCTCTTTTTAATGAGATGTGTGGGAACAAATTGAAAAATCGTTTAGGTTTATGTAGGTCTACAGTAAGGTATTTTGATCTGTAGATAGCTTTTTAAACTTTATGCAATGTAAATATTTGTGGAAATATATATGTTATGGTGAAGTATTTATACATATGACAAAGGTATATGGATAGAATTGAATCAATTATTTCCTTTTATGATAAGTTTAAAAAGCTCTCGTCGAAACTTTATTTTGCTTTACTTTTTTAATCTTTCAAAAATTACTATTTTTTTTTATTACTTATTAGGTAAAAAACAAACCAATTGTTCAGTCTTATTACACAATTATTGATATGATTTTACCATAGTAATTAAAATAGAGGTTAGGTATATAGGTCAAACAACACAAAAACCAGAGGCACATATGGGTTTACATACAGACCTCATGCAACAATAGACAAATGTCTAAAACAATGTGTCAAGCTCTATATTGCCCAGAGTCTAGAAATGTTGAGAATAAATGTTATAAACATTATAAGAGATTTACCATCAACACCAAATTCCCTGCAGGACAAAAGACGTTATTAGAAAGCAAAGACCAAATATCTCTTCCAACAAGCTTCCTGACAAAGAACCAGTACAAATATTTGCTGGAGCTAAACTTTTTTTTAAGATCTATAATCCGTGTTTCTTTATAGCCTACCAGTGGAATAAAAAATGTATATAAAAAAAACATAAAACAAAGAAAAAAATAACACTTAACTCTGAGTGAGTCTACTAAATATTGTTAAAATAGATTGATTGATTGGTATTTAACGCCACTTTCAGCACTATTGTGCTATTTTGAGGCAGTCAGTTTTTATAGATAGGGGAAGCCAGAGTGCCCATAGAGAACCATGGACATCTTGTAGGAAAACTGACAATGTGTCGATCAATTATTTTTAAAAGAGTTATGCCCCTTGGAAATATTAATTATATGGAAAATTGCATTATTAGCACTCTCATGTGTACAATTCTTGCCAGATTTTTATGAAACTTGTATCATAGGTTTATATTAGCAATTTCTTGGACGAGTTGGAAAATCAGTGTAGATCAATTATTTTTAAAAGAGTTATGCCCCTTGGAAATATCAATTATATGGAAAATTGCATTGTTAGCACTCTCATGTGTACAATTCTTGCCAGATTTTTATGAAACTTATATCATAGGTTTATATCAGCAATGTCTTTGACGAGTTCAAAAATCACTGCCGATCAATTATTTTTAAAAGAGTTATGCCCCTTGGAAATGATAATTTTATGGAAAATTGCCTTGTAATCGTTCTCATGTGTACAATTCTTGCCAGATTTTTATGAAATTTATGTAATAGGTTTATATCATAAATGTCTCAGACAAATTTGAAAATCAGTGCCAATCAGTTATTTTTAAAAGAGTTATGCACTTTGAAATATTGATTATATGGAAAATTGCATTGTTAGCGATCTCATGTGTACAATTCTTGCCAGAATTTAATAAAACTTTTATCATAGGTTTATATCAGCAATGTCTTTGACACTTTCGAAAATAAGTGCTGATCAAATATTTTTAATGAGTTATGCCGCATGGAAATATTAATTGTAACGGAAATCACATTGTAATTGCTCTGAAGCCTTCATTTCTCTAAGATATTTATAAAATATTTAAAGAACAAAAAAAAAGTGTTTTGTTTTTAGTAATGGCCCTTGTACCTTGGATAGAAAAAATATGTGCAACCCTGGGGACACTGGAACACTGTTCTTTTATTTATCATGAGATGAGGCTGCAATTCATTGATGACTAGAGTTTAAAATTTAGATATGGAGAAAATCAATGTTTTGATGATAAAATTAGGGAGCTACCATTTGATTTTATGGGGGGGGGGACTTGGATAAAGGCAGGACAGGAGTTTTGAGTAAAAAAAAAAGGCAGGATGAGCAACTTGGCAAAAAAAAAAAGGCAGGATGAAAATTCATGTAAAAAAAGTCAGTATAAACTAATAAAAAAAAAAAGGCAGGACTAAATAGAGTGAAAAATAAAAAGGCAGGACAGAGATTACAACTAGAAAAAAAGGCAGGGCAGAATTTTTCATCCTAACCCCCCATAAAAATCAAATGGTAGCTCCCTTATGTCTCACAAACTTGATTTTTATGTCATTCCATTAATTTTTAAATGAATATTCTACTAAACCATGAAACCATTTAAAAAGTTCCATTTTATTAGCTCACCTGGCCGAAGGGCCAAGTGAGCTTTTCTCATCAATTGGCATCCGTCGTCCGTCGTTGTCGTCGTTAGCTTTTTACAGAAATATCTCCTCTGAAACCACTGGGCCAAATTTAACCAAACTTGGCCACAATCATCATTAGGGTATCTAGTATAAAAAATATGTCCGATGATCTCGCCAACCAACCAAGATGGCCACCATGGCTAAAAATAGAACATAGGGGTAAAATGTAGATTTTGGCTTATATCTCTGAAACCAAAGCATTTACAGTAAATCTGACATAGGGTAAAACTGATTATCAGGTCAAGATCTATCTGCCCTGAAATTTTCAGACAAATCTGACAACCTGTTGGGTTGCTGCCCCTGAATTGGTAATTTTAAGGAAATTTTGCAGTTTTTGGTTATTATCTTGAATATTATTATAGATAGAGATAAACTGTAAGCAGCAATAATGTTCAGCAAAGTAAGATCTACAAATAAGTCAACATGACCAAAATTGTCAGTCGACCCCTTTAGGAGTTATTGCCCTTTATAGTCAATTTTTAACAATTTTTCGTAAATTTTTGTAATCTTTTACAAAAATCTTCTTCTCTGAAACTATTGAGACAAATTTAACCATACTTGGCCATAATCATTATTAGGGTATCTAGTTTAAAAAAATTTGTCCGATGACCCGGCCTTCCAACCATCATGGCTGACTTGGTTAAAAATAGAACATAGGGGTAAAATGCAGTTTTGGGTTTATATCTCTGAAACTAAAGCATTTAGAGCAAATCTGACAGGTGGCAAAAATGTTCATCAGATTTAGATTTATCTGCCCTGAAATTTTCAGACGAATCCGACAACCCGTTGTTGGGTTGCTGGCACTTGCTGCCCCTGAGTTTGTGATTTTACTGAAATTTTGCAGTTTTTTGTCGAGCCTGCGACTTTTGTCGCATATAGCTTGACATAGGGATAGTGATCCGGCGGCGGCGTAAGCTAACTTCTTAAAAGCTTTATATTTCAGAAGGTGGAAGACCTGGATGCTTCATACTTTGTATATAAATGCCTCATGTTACGAAGTTTCCGTCAGTCACATGTCCAATATCCTTGACCTCATTTTCATGGTTCAGTGACTACTTGAAAAAAAAGTTCAGATTTTTTGGAATGTTAAATTCTCTCTTATTATAAGTAATAGGATAACTATATTTGGTATGTGCGTACCTTGCGTACCCTTCAGACAGTTTTCACTTGACCTCGACCTCATTTCATGGATCAGTGAACAAGGTTAAGTTTTCATGGTCAAGTCCATATCTGAGATACTATAAGCAATAGGTCTACTATATTTGGTGTATGTAATGATAGTAAGGTGTACATGTCCAACTGGCAGGTGCCATCTGACCTTGACCTCATTTTCATGGTTCAGTGGTCATAGTTTAGTTTTTGTGTTTTGGTCTGTTTTTCTAATACTGTATGCAATAGGTCAACTGTATTTGGTGTATGGAAATATTTTAGGATGTTCATGTCAGTCTGGCAAGTTTTATTTGACCTTGACCTGATTTTCACGGTTCATTGCTCAATGTTAAGTTTTTGTGTTTTGGTCTGTTTTTCTAATACTGTATGCAGTAGGTCAACTATATTTGGTGTATGGAAATATTTACGATGTACATGTCAGTCTGGCATGTTTAATTTGACCTTGACCTCATTTTCACAGTTCATTGCTAAATGTTAAGTTTTTGTGTTTTGGTCTGTTTTACTAATACTGTATGCAAAAGGTCAACTATATTTGGTGTATGGAAATATTTAATGATGTACATGTCAGTCTAGCAGGTTTTATTTGACCTTGACCTCATTTTCATGGTTCATTGCTTATGTTAGGTTTTTGTGTTTTGGTCTGTTTTTCTTACACTTTAAGCAATAGGTCAACTATATTTGGTGTATGGAATGATTGTAAGGTGTATATGTCTGTCTGACAGGTATCATCTGACCTTCACCTCATTTACATGGTTGATTGGTCAATGTTCAGTTTTCCTGGTTAACTTTTTTTCTTAGATACCTTAAGCAATAGGTCAACTATATTTGGAATGATTTTAATGTGTACATGTCTGTCTGGCAGGGTTCAAATGACCTTGACTTCATTTTCGTGGTTCATTGGTCAATATAGAATTTCCATGGTTTGGTCTGTTTCTTTTATACTATAAGCAATAGGTCATCTATATTCTGTGTATGGAGGGATTGTATTAAAGGTGTACATGTATTTCCAGCTTGGTTTATCTGACCTTGACCTCATTTTCTTGGATCATAAATGTTAATGTGATACTTGTAGTAAAACTTTATATGTAGGACTATCAACATAAAATCAATGGTCAGTATAGTAGGCGAGACATTTCAGCGTGTGCACTCTTGTTGTTATTATCTTAGATATCATTATAATATCTAATATCTAATACTATTAATTATGATTTTAACCTTATTTTACACGATTTCCAAAGCATCAGTAAATACAGGTGAGCGACACTGGCTCTTGAGAGCCTCTAGTTAAACATATACCTAACAGAAACAATTTTAAGCATTTGTGATTGGTTGATTGCAATTACAGTGAGTATTTGTGGAATTTATATTTATCCCAAGTAAAATTTGTTTTCAAAGTACAGTCAATGGGCAATGCCACAGATTATTCTAAAATTTGCATATAACTAGGTCATTTTGAACTTTAATTGATTGATTGATATGGTTACTGGAAGCTGCTTTGATCAGAACACTGCTATATTTAAGTACTTTAGGTACCCTTTTTATGGCATTAGGGCCAGCACTGTCAACAATATTGGTAAAGTTTGTGATTAGGTCGAACAGGCCAGACACATTTCTGTGTTAATAGTTCATTATGTCAATGTATCCAAGATTAAGGTTAATGTAACTTAGAAATGACTGAAATTGAATAATTACTCACAAACGTTTCTTTAGAATGGGACCAAACTTAAATATATAGTCATATTGAGTTAAAGGTCAAGCTCATAGTAACTGAAAATTGTTTCTGATTTGTTCAACAGAAGGATTTTTTAAAAAGAAAACAGGAATATTACAATGAATCAGAGTAAGATTTGTGATTTTAGAGGCTTTTTCAGTTTTTAGGTCATTATTTAATATTTCCTTGTAAAATATGAACTCATCTGAATATATAGAGTTTGATAGGGGCAAATATAGGGTTATCTCAATTGATAAAAAGGACATTACAGTAATGTTCTTTCTTATATCAACTCCTTGGGTGAACTAGATTTATAGAAAATGTTGCTTTACCAAAGTCTCTTCTGAATAGTATTTCTAATCAGCTGCATTTTAGAAAGTACTTGGGGTTTGGGGGTTTTTGAGATGCTCACTATGGTTCTATAGTTATAATTATAGATCCCCTAGGGACTTGGGTCAGTCAGTCAGTCACATTCAACCATCATTCTGTCACACATAAGTTTTCTTCAAATTATTCTGTACTGCTTCAATGTATTGATAAATGTATGGTAAATATATGTAGTCATCACACAAAAGTTAACAATTAAAAGTTTTAAGTTTTTTTTTTTGTTAAATGATTTTTGTGGACAATAATGTGGCACTTGAACATAAGAAATTGCTTGAAAATATCAGTTTTCTACACTTTTTTTCTGTAATGCTTAAAACAATCGATCTTAAATTTCATATAGTCATGTGAAGAAAAATTACTGATTGAGTTTAGTTTTGTTCCTGTTGATTGATACTTTGAATTACAACAGTAACAACATTTTCCAATTTGATTTAAAAATGCACTTGACCAATTCAAATGTTTGTCCCATATACATGTAACAGTAAGCTCAATCCCTATTTGCTAACAAAGGACATTTAATCGCAAATGCAGTACCCTCAGAATGCTTGTTTTGTATTGTTAAATTGGAAATTTTTCTTCTAGCAATATGAATTACGTAAAATCTGTGGATAGATATTTAAGAACTAAAAATTACATTTTTGAAATCTTTTTCACCAATTTTATGTATGTTCCACATAAGTGGGTATCTGTTTTTAAGCTAGTAACATACTTTAAAAGATAAAAGAAAGAAATACATTATTTTTCCAATACATTGTGTATTTATTTAATGTTCAATTATCAAAATTTGGGACATCCCTGATTTACTGTTAAAACTGTTAAATGCAACATATCAAAGATAGCAGTTTTTCACTTTAATTTTGTTAAAGAATAAATTAGTGCTGTTAATATTTTCTGGTCTGTGGGAGCATAAAATATTCAATTTATGATTTAAACACTTTAATGAATACATTTATCCTATATTGCTATCAATTTATACTTCTTTTAAATGATAAAGATATATGTCTATGTATGAAAAATAGATAGGAATACAGGAAATTAATAAAGTATTTTGCTTTATATCTTTTCTATTTTTGAGCACATTCAGAGTTCGTTCCGTGTTTAAAGTCATGACTTTTGTAGTTATTTCTTAATCAAACCATATCAGTGCTATTGTTGCATGACTTGAATGTAATTACTTAGTAAGGAACTACATTTCAGGGCATCCAATACAGTTTTGATCCCACGGTGATTTTTTGACAAAAATTTGCATACAAGGTATTTTTCACCTTGTCAATGCAAATATGTAATAAAAAATATACCATCATGTGCTACTTTTAGAGATAAATGGATTCAAAATTTTAGACATTTGGAATATCTTTTTTTTACATAAGTATGCTCTAAATTTGTGTAACAATACTATGGAAATAATTCAGTTTTATTAAATTTTCAATATTGTAGAAAAAAAACACAATTTTTTGCCATATATTTATTTAAATAAAAAAAAAAATGGTGAATTAAAAAAAAAATTGGTACAAATAATCTTCATACATAATCAAGCCCAATGTCATTAAAAAAGGAGGGGTCCATGTACTCATTTTCAAGCTAATGATTAAAATCTGTCAAAAAATGCATCTTTTTTCAATATGTTGCAGTTTGACATCGTGAAAATAACATTTTACGTGAGCGACGTCATTACCTTCCCTGCAACTGTATCATATGCCCCTAAAGCAAATGTTAACAGATATTCACCTAAGAGAAAAAAAAATTCTATTATTGCCAAATTAAAAATCAATTACTTTATTGGTATAAATTATAATAATGTTTTGTGTGTAGCCTGAAAAGAATACCTCATAATGTGAGACTTAAAATGCCTACCAAGTTAGAGCTTTAGCTCTGTATATAAACCTTCATATTTCAGCTCTGTGTATAAACCTTCATATTTCAGCTCTGTGTATAAACCTTCATATTTCAGAAGTTAGAACATAAAAGAGCTCATTTTATGGTTCTTTGATTAATTTTAATTATTGGAGATAGGGATGTTTCTCTACTACTGTTTAAATTAGAGCATCTATATTGGATGAATGAATAATTGTACTTAAAGTTGTAGATATCCGCCTGACAGGGTTCATCTAAGTGCATTTTCATGATTTATTGATCAATGTTGAGTTATGGTGATTCTGACTGTTTCACAGGTACTATTTGTAACAGCTGAACTATATTAGGTGTATAGAATGAATGAAGGTATGCATGTCTGTCTTGACATTGTTCATCAGGTTTTGAACACTTTTTCATGTGACATTGGTCAATGTTGAGTTTCTAAGATTTATAGGTCTGTTTCTCAAATACTGTTCTATTTGGATGAATGAATGGTTTAAGTTGTAGATGTAGTTTTATTACTTTGCTGCTGATTTAAGAATTCAATATTGCCTTTAAAGGAGGTCAAACTTTACATTAAAACCCTAAGAAAAACTTCATTTTGCCTTTCTTTTTCTTGCCTTTTTTTCCATTTGAGAACAGAAAGGAACAAACCATGCAGAAATTATTTCACCTGTCAGATATAAAGATATCAATATTTTATGTTCTTAAATCGACCACTGAATTCAGCTTGCTCTTGGTTTCATGCAGCAGACATGATCTGCAGGAGAAATGTTTGAAATTGGAACTTTTTAAAAGGAGTCCCCATTTAATGACATCCACCACCATGCCTTAATGGTTTTGTAATAGGTTATCTACATTATAGGGACTGAAAAAAAAAGAATGTAATTTTGTATTTTTGTAGATTGTGCAAGTTTATCAGCTAATTTTCCAGAACTCTACCAGAGAGAAGATGGCCTTTATCCAGACAAACCTAGTTTGTTTGATTTGATACCAATTGAAGAAAAATGGACTGACAAATCTACAGGCAAACATTATATGTATCCTGGAGTAAATGTTACATTCAAAGTTCCACCAAATGGTATGATATTAATTTATTTTCAGTCACAAGCCGTGAAAATCCTATTTTGCCAAGATCTAGAGTAAGGGGCAAATCTTTTAGTTAGGTAAGATCTAGTTATGTGCCCCCATCGCTGGGGGGGGGGGGGGGGGGGGGGGGCTTATGGAGTTACATTTATAGTTAATCCAGACTTTACCTGTTCCACTCCAATTTTTTTCTAGTTTGGGGCCCATGTCAAGAAATCCTCGCTAAAAATTCCGGTCTACCTCCTACGGCACTCATTAGTAGCTAAAGATTTGATTTCATTCAACAAATTAATTTATGACCTTCATGTACGTGTTGCTTAGAACACGGCCATATACCAAATTGTCAATATTAATCATCCATGTATTTTGCTCTATGGGGTGTTTGCAGAATTTCAACGGAGGCAATTTCTTGGCATGGGAGAAAGGAAGAAAGACCATTCACAATTTGTCTTACATTTGTTTTTCTCTTTTTTAATGAAATAAAAAAAATAATAAACCTTTCAAATGTAGAGTTCATAAGATAAAAATACTCCCTGTGGAACACCTCCCCTCCCCCCTTTTTTTGTACTCTCTATTTTCAACCCTCGAATTAAGCTTTCCAATCTAATTAAAATTAAAACCTTGCTTTCTAACCAATCTATTCATGTACCGGACCGGCAACTTTCTTTATTTAATACGAAAATCTGCAGTGCCGTTATACACATGCATGTTGTTTGCTTGGAGTCACTGCACGAAAAGAAAGAAATAGCCTAACTCCAAGATACTATATTCCTGCATCACGTGATTTTTACCACGTGGAGCTTACATTTGAATAAATACCAAATATGGAAAGTGAAACTACAATCAAAAACATAAAGTCTGAAGGCACAAATAAGAAAAAGAATGGTTTTTTTTGCAAAGGGTGCCGGGTAATTCTCTCTGTGTTCAACATATACCATGATGAAATATTTGCCACTGCCCCTTTTCTGTTCTATGAATTCTAACCCTGAGTTTTCTATCTGTAACATGCCAAGAAATCCTCGCTAAAAATTCCGGTCTACCTCCTACGGCACTCATTAGTAGCTAAAAATTTGATTTCATTCAACAAAATAATTTATGACCTTCATGTACGTGTCGCTTAGAACACGGCCATATACCAAATGGTCAATATTAATCATCCATGTAATTTGCTCTATTGGATGTTTGCAGAATTTCAACGGAGGCAATTTCTTGGCATGTGCAGGCCCCCATTTTTAAAATCCTGGATCTACATCTGATCACAGAAGAGTTAGACAATCAGTGCTGATGGATATTTTGGGGGGAGTTAAGCCCAAGTGCTTTTGATATATACTGTGGATTCATTATTATTCGTGGAATTCGTTGGAAAAAATAAACCGCTAATTCAAATGTACAATTTTTCCGCATACTTATATGCAAACTTGACAAAAACCATGAAATAAAATATCCAGGAATATACAATTTTTTCACATCTAGGGAAATAGGTACCCATGAAAATAAATGTATCCACAGTAAATCAATTACTGTGGATTCATTCTTATTCGTTGGATACCAATTTTCGTGGATTTCGTGGGTACAGGTGAACCACGAAATTAAATGTTCAACGAATAGCAAATTTTCCATAGGCTTGTATGCAGACTTCGTCAAAACCACGAAATTAAATATTAACGAACATGTAAGTTTTCCTTAATCCACGAAAATTGGTACCCACAAAAATAAATGAATCCACAGTATCTAAGAAATTGACCTGTAGCCCTTTCACCAAAATAGTTCTTAACAGATTGTGATATATATAGTTATTCTATGAAAGTTTTATTTCATTAATATCTTATGGAAGGAATGCTCATTTGAAATATTCGTTGAATCTATCAGTAATATTCTGTTATCTTCTATTAATTAATAGTATTGTTTTGTAATAATTTTAGCAAGTTTCAAGTCTGTGAAAGGATTTGAGCTGATAGGAAGATCAACCAATCCAGATGATACTAGATGTTTTGTTTTTTCTTTTAATGGTTCTCAGTTGAATGCCAGTACAAAAGATGTAAGTAGAACTCTTCCTTGACTGAATGTCCATTTTAGCCAAGCATTTTCAATTTAATTAATTTCATGATTTTATAATATTACAAACAAATAGGATTATCTACAATATTCTAGTGCATTAAGTTTTATGAACACCAGGTAAGCAGTTTATAGCTTGTTAAAGTGACCAGAGACCTTCCTTTACCATCAACTCATTGTGCTAATTAGGTAATAACAGTTAAACATTCCCTTTTTCCTAAAAGATAAGGAATTTATGTGGTGAATTTACCAGAGACAGCAATTCCATTAGATGTTAGGAAATAACTAGTATAGCAAGGTAGAAGCCATATCTAGGACTAGCAATTGACTTCTGATCAAAGGAAGATTGCTATTATATGTATTGCATTTCTTTACCTTGTAGTAATGTCCTTAATCTGTGTAATATTAGAAAATTGAAGTTTTATCCTAAAATTAGTAGGGATCATTTCCAACTCATGGTCATTATGAATATCAAATCTAAAAAAGTTTCACAGAAGTTTATGTCATGTCTCCAAGGTTTTCTTTTCCCTGACTTCTGCTTAGTTTTTACCTCTCACAAATAAAATCAAGAGTGGAGTCATTTTCAAGATTATGAATATCCAATATGTAGTTTTGTTTTATTTTATTTTTTAGGTTGAAATCCAGTTTAGAATCTGGGCAATAATTGTACAGATTGAGACATTCTTTGATTTTGAAGTTTTTAGCCTTCCCAAGCCTCCGGAGAATGAACTTGATGGGATGTCTATAATAAAGACTGTTACAATGAATATGAGATATGGTAAGTAAATCATAGGATCTAAATACCTGTTTACATTCAAAGGAACCAAACTTTTTGTTGAGCCTGCATCTATATTTAGTTTCAGTCTGTGGTTAAAGTTTTTTGTTGAGCCTCAACGAAATTCGGAAAGGCTTGCTGTTTCTGGCTGCGGACATGCCAATGTATTAGTTTTGGTACTTTGATTTACATGTTATGGAATGTTAAGCAAGACAACTCATGCATCCTCTTGTTATACTTGATTGCTTAACATCTGGTGGCAACCATTTCATTACCCTGTATATTAAGGACAAGAACAAAAGAACAAGAGGTCTAATAGGATCTTTCTGCAAATGGATCAGCCAGGATGAAAGGGAAGGGGAATTAGGACTGCTACAAAAAAATGGGTGTGTTGAAAATTTTGCCTTGCAAGAAGCAACTTAAGACCCATCGGAGATTTTGCAAGGGTTCTTTGTGGCTCTTTCCTTACATGAGACATCACATAGTCAAAGAACGCCATTTGCAGGAGAATTGAAGCTTGAAATAGTTTTAGAGCAGATCTTAAGCAATTTTTACACTGCAATTTTTGTGGTGAGATAAACTTTCTAAGCAAACACATATTTTTGTCTTTTCAGATTTAAGTAAACCCTCAGCAGATTGGATTACAACTATAAGTTTTTATCCTAGTAGTGTTGACAAGTTGATATATATTCGCTTTGTGGAACCTCCTGAACAGTATAATTTCACACAGTTTGTTGTAAATTTGTGGAAACTTGATCAGCATAACAATGATGTGAAAATTGTCAAAAATGTAACAATATCACAGGTAATTATTGCTAAAGAAATGACACCTTTCCTCAGAATCAGTACCTGCTCATTTGAGTATTTGAATTTTTGCAACATGAATTGTCTCATTGTAATAACACAAAAGCTATTGTTCTCTGGAGTTCATTCAACAAGGGTATGGACAGGGGTAAGGGAACATGGCTATGAGGGGGTGGGAAGCAGGGGTCAGGTGGTAGGGAACCAAGTTGAAGAGGGGGAGTAAAAATAGGCATATTCTTGGAATAAAATTTAAAGATTTTCGTCTGGGAATAGGCGGAGGGAAGGGGGAGGGAATTTAGAGAAGAGGGGGTGGGAAATGGGATTTTGGGGGTAAGGAAGTGGGAATCAGGGACCACCTGTCTATCCCCTCTTCAATGGGAATTTCAAATTTCTCCATGAAAAACAAATCATTCATTGATTAATTTGGCAGTACAAAAAAATAAACTGTTAATGATGAAAATACATTCAATTTAAATACAAAAGTGAACAGCTCTTTCATTCATACTGTTAAAAGTGATCTGTACAAGTAGCTGTCAATCAACTTGCTAGAACATTCAGTAAGCAGTCTTAGCTTGAAATGGCTATTGGTGATATTTTTTGGTTACTGTAAATTCATAAATTATTGCTAGGTTTTTATTTAAGCGTATAATGCAACTAAGTCATTGTCGCAATAATAAAAACTCGCATTTTGATATATGATACATATATTTGTATGCAGATTTCCTGAAATCATAATAATACATCTCACATTTTTGTCTATTCTAAAAGAATCTCAATAATAAATGCATGCAATAATCTCTGAATTTAATTTCTGAATTTACAGTATATTTGTTGTTGAGTTGTTGTTTCATTAACTTATACTCCAAATCTCCTTTCATTCATATAGTCTAAAACAAGCTGTAAAGGTAGGTCTCTCAGTGTTTGTCATTAGTTTCCTACAACATTCAATGAGAAAGGTTGAAATAGTCTTTACAGGTAGAGGTCACTTGGTGAGGTCATTGTTCATTAGGAAGGATAAACAGATACTAGAAAGATTTGTCACACAAGAAGTTTGCAAATATTATTGTATTCTGATTATACATTTGGGCTAAAAAATGATTTACCTTCCTGTTTGATTTCAGATGCATTTTCCACATAAATCTCTTACATTCTGGATGAATGATTATTGTTTTGAGTGGACCAAAAATGCGAGACTTAGGCGTGCTATTTTTTGTTGTGACAGTGTTAACAATGTATTAGTTTGTGATTAGGTCAGTTTACGGGGAACCACTAGTGGTAGGTCAATGATATTTGTTATGCAGTTGTATGAGCACTGGCACATCTCATTTCCAAGGAGATTATTTGTCCCCTTCCCCTCAGTGATGACCTATTGACATTGAAACTTTTGATTAGTTTACATGTATTAGTTTGTGATTAGGTCAGTTTAAGGGGAACCATTAGTGGTGGGTCATTGATATTTGGTATGCAGTTGTATAAGCATTTGCACATCTCATTTCCATGGAGATAATTTTGGCCCCGCCCACTCAGTCATGTTCTATTGACTTTGAAACTTTTGCTTAGTTTACATGTAATAGTTTGTGAATAGATCAGTGTGAGGGGAACCGTTAGTGATAGGTCAATGAAATTTGGTATGCAGATGTATTAGCATTGGCATATTTAATTTCCATAGAGATTATTTGTCCCCCCTCCCTCCCCCTTCAATCATCGTTCATTGACTTTGAAACTTTTACATAGTACACAAGTTAAAGTTTGTGTTTAGGTCAGTTTAAAGGGAACCACTTATGATAAGTCAATGGTATTTGGTATGCAGTTTTATAAGCATTGGCATTTCTCATTTCCATGGAGATTTTTTGGCCCTGCACCTTCAGTCATGGTTCATTGACTTTGAATGATTTACATAGTTTACATATATTTAAGTATTGCCACTTTAATTACAACAATTGCATTATACTATCAAAATTACAAAACGCGAGACATATCTCTGTGTCAACAGTTTATAAGTTACTTAACGCTGAATTATTTACAAAATTTTCAAGCCAACAGCATGTTTTCATAATTTTTAAATAAATATAAATAAAACATCTGTTTTACAAGGTTACATTGTACAAGGTAGTGCTAATTTTTAAGAGATATTTTAATTTCAGTATGAACATTATTTCCATGATGTGCCACCAGGTCGATATAAAGTAAAAGTAAGTACAAGCTTATGTTAGAAAAATATTTATGTTTATATTTTTAAACATTGAAGGCCTGTAGTAATCAGCTTTTTTAAAAACCTTCACATCAAATTTGAGCTCTCTAACTTTATATCCCCTTGATGTTGGGTAATGAAACTTGGCATTATAATTCACAACTACTGGAGACATTGAACCTTTTAGAGTTTGTGGATGAATTAGTGGGTCATCTGTAAAATTTCTGCCTCCCATGGGTATAAGCTGTGTTTAAATTGAATAACCAATTCTGTCTGATTATTGTTTTTAGACATCAATAACTTTGTCAAATATTCATAGAATTTTATGAAACTTGAACAGAAGCTTCTTCAAGATCAAAAGATAACCCTTTGTATTTTACTGCTAACTGATAAAATTGAGAATGGAAATGGGGAATATGTCAAAGAGAAAACAAACCCTGAACTTAGTTTTATGGTAGTCAACATTGACAGCATTTACAGTCACAAAAAAATGAAATGGTAATGATATTATGAGGTAGATTTTCAAGTCAGCTTAATTGTGCTCTGTTCAATGTTCAATGTTTGATATAGACATTCGACATGTGCTTAGAAAGATTGCTAGTAAAATTATCATTAAAATATGGATTTTTTATAAATAATTCTGTGTTTTGAAAAATTAATAGGAAAATGCAAAATAGATACTGTTGATAAAGAAATTAAAAGCAGGTTGTGAAAATAATAAGTTTTTTACTTTTTTCTACAGGTTGAACCCAAGAGTTCCTATGCAAGTGGACAGTGTTTTTGTTTTAATACTAATGGTGTTTGTGTGTCATGTGCTAGGACAACTACCAGGCCTATCATTATAGAGAACTGTAAGTAGATTTGAACATTTTTTCATTGAATAATTCATAAAAACATAATTATCTACTGTAAATTTAGAAATTATTGTGAGGTTTTAAATAATGCAAATAAGGCGACTGGGTGAGTTTTGTAATAATAAGAACTTGTATTCTGATATCTGATATATATATATCTGTATGCAGCTTTTCCAGAAATCGCAATAATTAATCTCTTATTTTTGTCCATTCTTCAATAAACAAAATAATAAATATCCCGCAATAATTTAAAAATTTACTAATTTTTATTTTAAAATTTCTTTCCTGACAGTTCAGTGATATTAAGGCATTATTTTTTCTTCCTTATATTAATCATTAGTTTTAAAAAAAATCATGGGTTTCCAAAAATATGGTCAAAAGTCAAATTCAATATTCAGCAGACAAAATTAAATCTAACATCACAAAAAGTGATAGACAGGTGACTATGACACTCAAAGATAAGAAATAATGCCTTTGATTTGGTCTTCCACAGATATTTTACGAAAAGGAATTATTCTATCATTGAACTGAAGCTATATCAAATAGGAATACAGTTTACCTTTAACAGCTACAATAGTGAACTTAGCTAACAGCCAAAAATTGCCAAACTATAACCATAATAAACCAAGGGCATCTAAGATTGTACTGTTTGTACACATGCTTGTGTTCTAGTCTTAATAATTAATACTTCATATACTTCTAAATACAAGAAAACTAATACAAAAATCACAAAACATTGTTCCTATCTTCTGCTACATCTTTATACGGAATGTATATAGAAACACATTTTTATGCCCCAGTCGTAGCGGAGGGGGCATTAAGTTTTATCCTTGTCTGTCTTTACGTACGAATTTTGGTGGCATCACTTTAACCGTTCTAGAGTTATGCCCCTTTACAAATGGAAAAATTGCTGAATTTTTCATTTCCGTTCTTTAACTTTAGTTTGCCTCAACCAAATGTAATGAAACTTATACACAATGCTCTCTAACTTAAGTTTGCCTCAACCAAATTTTATTAAACTTATACACAATACTTATTACCACAAAACTCAGATTAAGTACAATTTTGGGTAGTGTCAGTTTTATCGTTCTTCAGTTATGTCCCTTTATAACTTTATATGATATGCAAGCGGGGGCATCATCTGTGTCCCATGGACACATTCCCTATTTATTTTTCTTAGCTATAGTTATTTGCAGCTTCTATTAAGATTACAAGTAAGTCTTTTCTGATTTTAGATGATGAAGCTTACAATGATTTATATATTGGTACATTAGAATATGAAATTTAAACTGATTGTCTTTTTAAAAAAAACATGTGCATTTGTTAGTACTGTGAAGAAGATCATGTAACCTATCCAAAGACATAAATTTTTATTGCGTCTTGGGGTATTCAAGAAAGAGAATAACAGATATGTAAAAATCAACAGATATGTTTATTTACCTGTGAATGGATTTGCTAAAGCAGAATTTTCTTTCTCATTGTTTTGCATTATAGTAAACACATTGGGTACAACCACCACTTCTACTACAACAACCACTTCTGCTATTACAGCCACCACTAATACTGTTACTGGTCCAGATACCAGCTTTACAACCTATACACCATCACCAGTTGATGTTGGGCCAGACTCACCCAATGCAGAGAAGGTTGTAGCTGTTGTATTTGGTATAATTCTTGGCTTATTACTGGTAGGAATACTAGCATTCATTGCCTACAGTAACAGGAGGAAAAAACATGGTAAGATACTTATGTGTTGGTTATTTAAATGTAGATTTCTATGAAGTCTCACACAAACTTTACAAAAATAATAGTCAAACCTGAAATAAAAGTCACTTTTAGAATCGTAGAAAACCGACCTTATATGGAAGGTGACCTTCAAATTGAAACTCAAAATTCATAGATATTACTACAACAGGACAAGAAGTGGGTGACCTGACAAGACTGGCAAAAAAAAATCGACATGTATTTTACACACTTTTTGGCATGTCTTGTCATTGCCGGAGGTTGACAACTATGTTAAAATCTGTCTTTGAAAAATATCTCGTGATAAGGCATTACAATTTCGAGATTGGTAAAATACATTTTATAATTACATAATAATAATAATGATAAATTCTTTATTTAAAGAAAGTAAAAACGGTTAGTTACAACAAACTAATCCTCCCAGAGGCCTTCACATACAATGCAATCAAAAACAGATAATCACATATAGTTGATTTATAATCATATAGTTCAATGTATCATTAAAAATAGATAAAACAGTTAAAGAGGTACATGTAGTTAAAAAATTAAAAAAATATAATATACAATTCAAAATGATACATAGTAAAAACAGTAACTTATCAGGACTGTGTCAAGAAATTCCTAATACTTTGTGTAAAAGTAAAAATTGTTTTGGACATTATACACATTTTGTATGGGAATTCATTTCATAGAACTGATAAAAAATAAACAAAAGATTTTTTTAAACAGCTCAGCTTTTTGCTTAGGAACTATTAGATTACCTTGAGTAAGCCCTCACAATTCAAAGAGTGAGGATTATTATCTGATATCAGTTCAAGTTTGTTGTCTCCCCTTGTTTAATAAAAAAAAGTGTCAAATTATGTTCAAAAGGGTGTAGTGCAATTTGAAATGTCATTTTATGTGTTCTTTCGAAAGAAATGCAAAAGATAGACTTTGACATGGTAAAATACCTTTAATATGCAGGTAAACTTTTTGATATGTACATTTCTATAATACATAAAAAATGCATCATTTTTAGCATATTTACACTGTTGATTCTTCATTTCAATATGGGTGTAATGTTAAAAGGAGTAAAAGTAAATGTGGGATTAAGACTATCAAGAAAGCAATCAAACAACACAAAAATGAGCAACAATGTCTAGAGGTCAACATAAAACATACTAAAATATAGTTCAAAGTTACACATATGACCTGCCTACATTGCATACATTATTAATCCAAATTGTTTGAACGGTAATGAATTTAATATTTCTGTCATTATTTTCTGTCACAAATAGCAAATGAATTAATTTTTCAGATTCAGAAAATATTGAAACAGATCCTTTTGAAGATCATGCTCCTAAAACTTCATATCTACCTACAGAGCCAACTTATCAAAATACAGAAAATGCTTATCACATCTACACTGGTAAGACAATTTGTGTTTGCTTCTTACATAATTGTATATTCCTTTTTTATACGACCGCAAAAAAATTTTTGTGGTCGTATATTGGTATGACGTTGTCGTTGTCGTCCGAAGACACATTGGTTTTTGCACTCTAACTTTAGTTTAAGTGAATGGATCTCTATGAACAGGCGGAAATCCAGTTGAAATAGGACAAAAGAATCGAAGCTCTTTGTTAGAGAAGGCGATAAATGATTACTGTAATGTTTACTGTAGTAACTCAAATTTTAAAAGTTAATAGAAACAAATTAAATGACAGTTTTTGGCTAAATTACGAAATATTTCATCATAAAAACACAATTAGCATAAGTTTTCAATTTATCTATTACATAATTAAGCAGAACAATTAGATATCAGGTCGACGACATGGGTGTCTATTAAGTTGGATCTAAAAAATGCATAACCTCCGATTTTTCAAAAAAAATTACCACGGACAGAGAACATATCAATCTATTTGTTCCTTAATTTTCGTTTCTGCCCTTCCATTATGTGACTCAAGAAAAAATTCCAAAAAATGGGTAACAATTGCATCGAAAAGAGAAAATCAAGGGCACCTTTTTATGTTAGGGCGTGTTTGAGTTGAATATTTTGTCTTGAAAACGTAAAAAGCAAAAGTATTTGATACATCATCTCGCTTCAGATTCTATCATTTTTATATATCAAGGCTACAGGTTGACTTTATAACATCGAAAATTCACAGTACTAAAAAAATAAAATATATAGGTGAAGTGAAATACCTTTCTAATGAATCACAAAAACAGAGTAGGTGTGTTCGAATAGCAAATTTTTACTAAAAGTACTTGACGACAGACTTTTAAGTTGGATCTTAAAAATGCATATCTTCCAAAAAACTTCATTTTTTGTGTGTGATATCTAGGGTTTATAGTCTTCAACCACTGAAAATTTTTAGTCTGCCCTTCCACGAAATATTAAATGAGAATTTTTTTAAATGTTTATGAATTTTCGAAAATTCCACCTGACAACCGATCAGACAATAGTTTTAAGTTGACTGAATGCAGACAAGTACATTAACTGATGCTCATAAGCTAGTTGATACATTTGTCTTTTAAAATACAACTGGCATATAAGGATCGTAATGGTGCTATGCGGATAAATTTATCGGTTTTCAAGAGCTAAATTGGCAGCGCGTCATCCCTACAATGGCTTCCATTTTTACGATTGTAAAAATGAACTGGCGTAATGGGGAGATAATTTTGACGAAGTAGAATCCTGACTGTATGAAATTTTACCACAAGGTTCAATACCAAAAAAGGAAGGTTGGGATTGATTTTGGGGGTTATGGTACCAACAGTTAAGGAAAAAGGGGCCAAAAATAAGCATTTTTGTAACTTCCAGACATAACTTGTGTGTTAGTGTATGGATCTCTCTGACATTGTACCACAAGGTTCCATATCACACAGGGAATGCTGGGATTGATTTTGGGGGTAATTGCCTCAAAATTTTAGGAATTAGGGGCCAAAAAGGGGCAAAAACAAGCATTTTTCTAGTTTCATGACAATAACTTGTGTGTAATTGTATGGATCTTTCTGAAATTGTACTACAAGGTTCCATATCACAAAGGGAAAGCTAGAATTGAGTTTGGGGGTAATTGCCCAAAATGTTTAGGGATAAGGGGCCAAAAAAAAGCATTTTTCTAGTTTCCAGACAATAACTTGTGTTCAAGTGTATGGATCTCTCTGAAATTGTACTGCAAGATACCATACAACAAAGGGAAGGCTGGGATTGATTTTGGGGGTAATTGCCTCAAAATTTTTAGGAATTAAGGGTCCAAAAAGGGGCAAAAAAACAAGTATTTTTCTAGTTTCAGGACAATAACTTGTGTGTAAGTGTATGGATCTTTATGAAATTGTACAACAAGGTTCCATATCACAAAGGGAAAGCTGGGTTTGAGTTTGGGGGTAATTGCCCTAAACGTTTAGGAATTTGGGGCCAACAAATTTTGCTGTCGTATATTGGTATGACGTTGGCGTCGTCGTTGTCCGAAGACACATTGGTTATCGCACTCTAACTTTAGTTTAAGTGTATGGATCTCTATGAAATTTTACCATAAGGTTCAATACCACAACAGAAAGGTTGGGATTGATTTTGGGGGTTATGGTACCAACAGTTAAGGAATTAGGGGCCAAAAATAAGCACTTTTTGTAACTTACAGACATAACTTGTGTGTTAGTGTATGGATCTCTCTGACATTGTACCACATGGTTCCATATTACGAAGGGAATGCTGGAATTGATTTTGGGGGTAATTGCCTCAAAATTTTAGGAATTAGGGGCCAAAAAGGGGCAAAAACAAGCATTTTTCTAGTTTCATGACAATAACTTGTGTGTAATTGTATGGATCTTTCTGAAATTGTACTACAAGGTTCCATATCACAAAGGGAAAGCTAGAATTGAGTTTGGGGGTAATTGCCCAAAATGTTTAGGGATAAGGGGCCAAAAAAAAGCATTTTTCTAGTTTCCAGACAATAACTTGTGTTCAAGTGTATGGATCTCTCTGAAATTGTTCTGCAAGATACCATACAACAAAGGGAAGGCTGGGATTGATTTTGGGGGTAATTGCCTCAAAATTTTTAGGAATTAAGGGTCCAAAAAGGGGCAAAAAAACAAGTATTTTTCTAGTTTCAGGACAATAACTTGTGTGTAAGTGTATGGATCTTTATGAAATTGTACAACAAGGTTCCATATCACAAAGGGAAAGCTGGGTTTGAGTTTGGGGGTAATTGCCCTAAACGTTTAGGAATTTGGGGCCAAAAAATTTTGCGGTCGTATATTGGTATGACGTTGGCGTCGTCGTCGTCCGAAGACACATTGGTTTTCGCACTCTAACTTTAGTTTAAGTGTATGGATCTCTATGAAATTTTACCATAAGGTTCAATACCACAAAAGAAAGGTTGGGATTGATTTTGGGGGTTATGGTACCAACAGTTAAGGAATTAGGGGCCAAAAATAAGCACTTTTTGTAACTTACAGACATAACTTGTGTGTTAGTGTATGGATCTCTCTGACATTGTACCACATGGTTCCATATTACGAAGGGAATGCTGGAATTGATTTTGGGGGTAATTGCCTCAAAATTTTAGGAATTAGGGGCCAAAAAAGGGGCAAAAAACAAGCATTTTTCTAGTTTCAAGACAATAACTTGTGTGTAAGTGTATGGATCTTTCTGAAATTGTATTACAAGGTTCCATATCACAAAGGAAAAGCTGGAATTGAGTTTGGGGGTAATTGCCCAAAATGTTAAGGAATTAAGGGCCAAAAAGGGACCGAAAATAAGCATTTTTGTAACTTCCAAACATAACTTGTGTGTTAGTGTATGGATCTCTCTGACATTGTACCACAAGGTTCCATATCACAAAGGGAATGCTGGGATTGATTTTGGGGGTAATTGCCTCCAAATTTTAGGAATTAGGGGCCAAAAAGGGGCAAAAAACAAGAATTTTTCTAGTTACATGACAATAACTTGTGTGTAAGTGTATGGATCTCTCTGACATTGTACCACAAGGTTTCATATCACAAAGGGAATGCTGGGATTGATTTTGGGGGTAATTGCCTCCAAATTTTAGGAATTAGGGGCCAAAAAGGGGCAAAAAACAAGCATTTTTCTAGTTACATGACAATAACTTGTGTGTAAGTGTATGGATCTCTCTGACATTGTACCACAAGGTTTCATATCACAAAGGGAATGCTGGGATTGATTTTGGGGGTAATTGCCTCTAAATTTTAGGAATAAGGTGCCAAAAAGGGGGGGAAATAAAATTGAGAATGGAAATGGGGAATGTGTCAAAGAGACAACAACCCGACCATAGAACAGACAACAGCAGAAGGTCACCAACAGGTCTTCAATGCAGCGAGAAATTCCCGCACCCGGAGGCGTCCTTCAGCTGGCCCCTAAACAAATATATATACTAGTTCAGTGATAATGAACGCCATACTAAACTCCAAATTGTACACAAGAAACTAAAATTAAAAATAATACAAGACTAACAAAGGCTAGAGGCTCCTGACTTGGGACAGGCGCAAAAATGCGGCGTGGTTAAACATGTTTATGAGATCTCAACCCTCCCCCTATACCTCTTGCCAATGTAGAAAAGTAAACGCATAACAATACGCACATTAAAATTCAGTTCAAGAGAAGTCCGAGTCTGATGTCAGAAGATGTAACCAAAGAAAATAAACAAAATGACAATAATACATAAATAACAACAGACTACTAGCAGTTAACTGACATGCCAGCTCCAGACTTCAATTAAACTGATTGAAAACAAGCATTTTTCTAGTTTCATGACAATAACTTGTGTGCAAGTGAATGGATCTTTATGAAATTGTACTACAAGGTTCCATATCACAAAGGGAAAGCTGGAATTGAGTTTGGGGGTAATTGCCCAAAACGTTTAGGAATAAGGGGCCAAAAATAAGCATTTTTCTAGTTTCCAGACAATAACTTGTGTTCAAGTGTATGGATCTCTCTGAAATTGTACTGCAAGGTACCATACCACAAAGGGAAGGCTGGGATTGATTTTGGGGGTAATGCTCTCAAAATTTTAGGAATTAGGGGCCATAAAGGGGCAAAAAACAAGCATTTTTCTAGTTTCAGGACAATAACTTGTGTGTAAGTGTATGGATCGTTATGAAATTGTACTGCAAGGTTTCATATCACAAAGGGAAAGCTGGGTTTGAGTTTGGGGGTAATTGCTTTTAACGTTTAGGAATTTGGGGCCAAAATACAAGCATTTTTCTAGTTTCCAGACAATAACTTGTGTTCAAGTGTATGGATCTCTCTGAAATTGTACTGCAAGGTACCATACCACAAAGGGAAGGCTGGGATTGAGTTTGGGGGTGATGAATCATAAGGGGGTTCAAAAATTGGGGGGGGGGATTTTTTTCCCTTTTTTTTCTTTAAAATTTTCCATTTTAAATTGGTTATTTCTGATTTATATATAAAAGCTAATAATAATGATATGGTTTGAATAGGTAAATTAAAAAAATTTAAGTTCTTAGACCACATTCATTCTGTGTCAGAAACCTACATGTATGCTGTGTCAAATATTTAATTACAATCCAAATTCAGTGCTGTATCAAGCTTGAATGTTGTGTCCATACTTGCCCCAACTGTTCAGGGTTCGACTTCTGCGGTCGTATCAAGCTGCGCCCCAGCGGAGCATTTTATTGGCTCAAAAACTATAGCAGTTAGAGCAGAAGTGACATGGAGTTAAAGTGATGAATAAGTCAAAATCTATCTGCTATGAATTTTCAGACCAATTGGACCACCAATTGTAAGATTACTGTCCGAAATAGTTTAAATTTATGAAATTTTACTGTTGTGGGTTATTATCTTTAATATTATAATAGATAGAGAGAAAGTGTAATGGCAAAAATAATCATTGATGAAAGATTTAAGCAAAGAATAACAGGTGAACGATTCAGGCTCTTGAGAGCCTCTTGTTTTAATTATTGCCCTTGTACCTTGGATAGATAAAATATGTGCAACATGGGGGACATTGGAACTCTGTTCTTTTATCATTGTTAAGTTTTTATACGGCCGCAAAAAATTTTTGCGGTCGTATGACGGTGGCGTCATCCTCGTCGTCGTCCGAAGACACTTTGGTTTTCGCACAATAACTTTAGTTTAAGTGAATGGATCGCTATGAAATTTTACCATAAGGTTCAATACCACATATGGAAGGTTGGGATTGATTTTGGGGGTTATGGTACCAACAGTTGAGGAATTAGGGGCCAAAAAGTGGCCAAAAATAAGCATTTTTCTAGTTTCCAGACAATAACTTGTGGAACGGTGTATGGATCTCTGAAATTATACCACAAGTTTCCATACCACAAAGGGATGGTTAGGATTGGCTTTGGGGGGTTATGGCTCAAACCGTTTAGGAATTAGGGGCAAAAACAAGGGTGTCCTGGTTAATGGACAAATACTTTAGTACAAAACATAATTTAAAGCAGTGTAAGGGAGGCAATTCAAATACATCATCTGAATTACCTCCCTTACACTGCTTTTGAATTATGTATAAAGTAATGGTTAATGAACAATTTAGACAATTTAAAAGGAGTGTAAGGGAGGTAATCCAAATACAATGTTTTGATTACCTCCCTTACACTGCTTTTAAAATATGTTTAAAGAAATGCATATTTATAAAGGAAGACCAGTAAAAATATCTGCAAATGTTGCATCTCTTTTTTTTACAAAAAAATCCATATGTAAGATTTGACACCATATTTTGAATCTATTATAAAATAGATTAAGTTAGCACTGTGGTAAATTTAAATGGGTAATTATGCAGCATAGTGTATTTCACAAAAGCAAAAAAAAAGGGGGGGATGGTAAATTTTATATCTATTTTTTGTGGGGGGAGTGGGGTCAATTCGCAACAGCAAAGTGTATTGCACAAAAGCAAAAAATTGAATATAAATTCAAATCAAATAACCAATTCTAAGTTCTTTGACTACAGTTATTCTGTGTCAGAAACCTTTTATGTGTCAAATATTTAATTACAATCCAAATTCAGACCTGTATCAAGCGTGAATATTGTGTCCATTTTTGCCCCAACTGTTCAGGGTTGGACCTCTGCGGTTGTATCCAGCTGCGCTCGGCGAAGCAATTTATTTTTTCTATCATTGTACAATTAAATGGCAGTCAGTTTTCCTGGTTGAGAAAATGTGAATGGGTAAGGTAACAATTACCTTTTGACTTTCAATTGACAAACAGTGTCGCTTACCCATAGATCTAATAGAATACAGAAAATTGTAAAAACTCTGAGCTGTCAACAAATTTTTGTGGTCAGCCCTTTTATCACATAAATCTTCTTTAGACATTGCATAACTGAGGAGGAAAATGACATCTTGACTGATTTAAGCCTTGATTTAAGAGTTTTCTTTTGCATCATTGGAAGCATGTACAGACCAAAAATCTTTCTGTGGTGAAGTGCATCTTTTACTTATGTACAGACTTATGCTTCAACACACTACTTAAAAGTTTATTAGTATGAAATTAAACTATCAAAAAGGAAATATCACAAATACACTTTAACTTTGGACTGTTTTATAGTCTCTGTTCACGGACTACTTACAATGTTTTTGATGCAACAAAATATTGCCTTCAATGGAAATTCATACAGAAAATAGCACTTTTTTGCAGTAGACATTAATCATTATGATTTCATTTGTTTCAGCAGAATTGGTCAAGATACCTACAGTTTTTATAGTATGCGCAGAAGATCACCAGTATCATGTGAATGCGGTTGAAGCATTTGCACGATTTCTAGACTCTCACTGTCAGTGTAATGTAGTTTATGCCCCTTGGTGCCTTCATGAATATCTCGATGGTAAATTCAGATGGGTCATCAATACAATTGAAAAGGCAGATTTTGTTATTATTGTGAATTCTGAATTGTCATACCACCAATTCAAATCCTGGAAGAACAAGGAAGACAAATTCTGGAAATCACCAGATGCAAGTCAAACTTTTGATTTATATATGTCGTCGGTCAGTCAGATTACTAAGCGTATTATAAATGTAAACAATCATTTCAAATGTATTATTGTGCATTTTAATTACACAGCTAATAAATTCTCATTGGATGAATTATGCACAGGAGCTGAGTATCAGATTCCCAAACATATTCATGAGTTAATGTGTCAGATTCATCAGATGGATAATCGTCGTGCTGGTTACGACAATATCGGCTACTTTGCAGATCTTATTGGATCTACTTCAGATGGGCAGCATTTGTCCATGTGCATCACCTTGGCAGCAAATTTTGAAAAACAAAATCCTAATTGGTTCAATGAATATTTTGAAAATGCGGAGCAATTTGACTCTGGTATAAGTAGTCCATCTACTTCATTAGGTGGAGAAACAGGTAATAAACGAAGTTCAGATGTATCATCAGATGGTAATGTTAAAGATTCTCATCAAACATCACCACCCAATTACAATATCAGGGGATACAATAGTAGGCAAAATTCATTTGATGATAACAATATAGTTGATAACTTTTCTCGTCAAGCACTCAGAACCTCAGATCCTTCTAGTGACGATTTCACTTTTAAAGCTCCAAGTGACATTGAAGATGAAGACATTCTCAGCCAGCAGTTGCGACAAGAAATTTACGATTTGAACAGAAGAGCACTAGAATCTCAATATCAAAATGAAATTGCACCTCCATATCACCCATCAATAGTATTCAGAGGAATGAGTCAAGAAGAGGAAATCCAAAGTCTTGGTGGACAGAGTGTTTAAAGCTTTAATAATTATAATTAGAAAGAGAAGATCTAGAAATCCATGTTTTTATTATGTATTTGTTATCCTTTATATTGCTAAATGTCAGGTCAGACAAAAAGTTGTTAATGTTTGTTAAGTCTACCTATTAAAGTGAAATTAGGTCTTTCATTAAAAGATTAGATAAAAAAATCATATTTAAAATCAAAAGAACCCAGAAAATATTTTAAAGAATACTTTAGTTAGAGTTATACAAAACAAATAATATTCTAATTGTTCTGATATTGTTGTCTCGCCTTGACGGAGTCAAAAAGCGAGACATAGGTATGCTGTTTTCGGCGGCGGCATCAACAATGTATTAGTTTGTGATTAGGTCTAGTTCATGGTGAACCACTAGTGGTAGGTCAATGATATTTGGTATGCAGTTGTATTAGCATGGGCACATCTCATTACCATGGAGATTATTTGGCAACGCCCCTCAGTCAAGGTCTATTGACTTTGAAACTTTTCATAGTTTACATGTATTAGTTTGTGATTAGGTCAATTTATGGGGAACCACTAGTGGTAGGTCAATGAATTTGGTATGCAGTTGTATAAGCATTGGCATATCTCATTTCCATGGAGATTATTTGACTCCGCCCCCTTAGTCATGGTCTATAGACTTTGAAAATTTTGCTAAGTTAACATGTATTAGTTTGTGATTAGGTCAGTTCAAGGGGAACCCTTAGTGGTAGGCCAATGTTAATTGGTGTTCAGTTGTATAAGCATTAGCACATCTCATTTCCATGGAGAATATTTGGCCCCGCCCCCTCAGTCATGGTCTATTGACTTTGAAACTTTTGCTTAGTTTACATGTATTAGTTTGTGATTAGATCAGTTTAAGATGAACTGCTAATGTTAAGTCAATGATATTTGGTATGCAAATGTATTGGCATTTGCAAGTCTTTTTTCCATGGAGATTATATAGCCCCACCCCTGATCATGGTTCATTGACTTTGAAACTTTTACATAGTTTACAAGTTAATGTTAGTGTTTAGGTTTTTTTAAAGTGAATGACTTATAATAAGTCAATGGTATTTGGTATGCAGTTGTATTAGCATTGGCACATCTCATTCCGTGGAGATTGTTTAGCCATGTACCTTCAGTCATGGTTCATCGACTTTGAATATTTGCATAACTTACATGTTAAAGTATTGCTATTTTAATTTCAACATTTGCATTATCAAAATTAAATAAAGGCGAGACATCTCTCTGTGATAACAGTTTATTATATTACTGTTAAAATTTATATTCAATTGCTATGATCATAATCTGACATTCATTGTCATAAATTTTCTTTTAACAACATAATGCATTATGTTTTCTTATCTGTGCATCTATCTGTCTGATAGTCTGTCAGTCTGTCTGTCCAGTACTAGGTTAAGGATTTTGGTTTATGTAGTTTACCTTGAAGTTGTGTTCAAATCAACTTAAAAGTAGTACACATGCTCATTGTGAGATGTGCTTTTTTTCCAAACTTTGACCAACAAAATGCTTTTAAAAGAAACAAATCTATGCATTTTGAAAAAAAACTTTTGCAAATGACCTTAAAGGAAACTTTGACAAATCTCGAACCAAACTTGTGAAATCCAAATACCAGTATCTGTTCTACAAATCAGACTTAAATCCATTTGCAGGAATAAAACAATGTACAGAAAATGTACTATCACTACTTTAGACACGACAATCTAAGATTTTAACACATTATTATGTCAATGCTAGGAGTACAAATTTAATTGTAGTTTAATTATTTTACACCATTTAGAAGTGCTATTTGTGAAAGATGCCATATATTATTATTCATATATTAGTTATTTTGGAATATGCCATGCATTAAGTTTACTGCTATTTGAGATAGCATGGTGCTGATGCTGTGGCAATTGTTACCCATCATATATATCTGTATGTCTCAGGGCTTCCAAAAAATATTTGAGCCAGCCAGAACATTTTTTTCAATCCCATTTTTATCCCTTTAGACAGGTTACCCCATAACAAAAGATGGTCATAACCATATGATAAAGCCATTAAACTATTAAAGGACGAGAGTATTAGTCAGTCGAGGACCAGCTTAGTTATTTGATAAACACATTTTCCAATACCGGATATTTACTTGATGACGATAGAACGCGGAACAGAGACGGTTGTGCAAAATCCATGTATTTTTATCTAGCATTATTGAGTTTAAGCAGTTCTTCCTACGTTATTTCTTGGGGAAAATACCTGAGATGAATGTAAGATAATGGTATAAATGACATTTTTATCGTTTTGGATGAATTCGAAGGCATTATTAAATAATAAATATCACACTTGAGCACATGCACACACTTCTAATATTTCAATCTACATGGTTCTGTCTGTTAAACTTTTTTACCACCTTTGTAAATTATGATTTGATCGTTTTAAATACGTTTTTCTGAGAGTCTAAATCTGTTTTGCTAAAAAGTAGTTAGATTAAAAAAACCAGTAATGTTTTAATTTTGATAAAAAAATAACTTCCAAAAAGATCGATTGATGTCCGGTACAAATAGTCTACCTGACAGGTGATCACAGGTAAATCTCACCTGTAAGACACTTAATTAACCTTGATTGTAATGAAAGGGGATTATAGTAGAGCTTGTTTATAGAGTACTGTCACTTTTATGACCGGAAAAATGTGACTGTTAAAGGCACAAGGTCAAGTGAAAATGGTTGATTTTTCTTAATTACGTGAACGTTGAAATGGCAAACCCACATAGGATGTCCGTTTCATGCTTGACCCAGTCGGACAATGATAAATTTATATTTAAAAAATATGACCATTTTGGAAGCCTTGGTATGTCCATATGTGTGTCTCTCTGTCTGTCTGTCTGATTTAGGTAGTATACTTTGAACTTACTGTCATATCATCTTGAAACTTAGTTCAAATTTTCATTATGATGTAAACTTTTTAAATCATATGCCATTTTAGGACTCTTACCTGATTTCACGATTCACTGACCATGGAAATATAGTGTGAGTGAGGGCGCAGGTTGTTCGGCTTTTTTACATGTAAAACAACAGAACACTTGCACTCAAACAATATGGACAATTACGCTTTAAACTTTGATACACCTGAACCAAATTGACCGGACATTTGCGCTTTTTACCTATATAAGTTTACTTGTAATCTTAACCAGATTTACCAAAGTCGAGGGATGATAAAAATGGAAACTGTAGTCCTCGTACTATGTCTGTGGAACTCTTCCATCATAGTTTCTTTGAGATTGTTTCGATTTATGGAGACGGAATTAAATTTTTTAACCACATGCTGTTCTTGTTGACTTTGAAGAAAGATTCATGGCTGTTGTAAGAAGAAATATTTAATAATTCAGACTTTCTAGGTGTCTGATGTGAAACTTCATAAGCATTTATCTCTAATAAAAAGGAATTATATGTCTTTTTCGGCAAGTAGTGATATCAAAAATGTTTAAAGTGTGATTGTTATATGTTACACAGTAGATTATTTTTATTTCACAAATTAAACTTAATAGAGTTACTTGATTTTTTCAAATAAAAGATATTACTTTTTTTTCTTTTCACTTACTGAATTATATGTATATGTAATTTTCAAAATTCACATGTACTTATTGAAATTAATTTTTCCCCCAAAACAGAAGAATCCTGTGGGGTATTGGTCAGTGAAAAGTAACACAACAACTAAAGAAAGAAAAGGACAACTTTAAGCTGTATATAAATAAATGAATGTGCTGTTGTTTTTTTTTTATGTTAAATGATTTTTAAACTTTTAACCATGATAACTGAAATGTTATGTTTATAAAGCTCCAATGTCCTGTAGAAAAAGCCCGAATGTCCTATAGAAAAAGCGCAAATGTCCATTAAAAAAAGCGCAAATGTCCTATCAAAAAGTGCCAACTTCTGCCGCCGGTGGATGAGGCATGGTGTCCTATGGAAACATAATCATCTTTGTTATGTAATATTTTTTCTGTCTAAAATTGCAGGACCAAAGTTGTTTTTAGAATTCCTCTGTTACAGTATTACAAAATATTTTATCTTGTATATAAAAATATAATCAAATAATCAAATAATCAAAATTAAATTTTTAGAATATTTTAAAAGAATATATAAATATAAGAAGTTTTTATGTGCCATATTTATTAAATTATTAGTCTGTTTTATTTTCAAATGTTGATTATGTACGTACCAGTAATTTTTTCTTGTTCATTTAATTAGATTAATTCAAATGATATAAGATCTGATGGTATGTAATATTGAAAAAAATGTCAGGAAATATTTTAGAATGTTGTTCATGAGGGTCTGGATGGGGTATACAGATGAGAATATAATGGGCAAACAAATAAAGACAAGAGAAAAATGGGCAAATGACTATTGAATAGAGAAAAATGGCCTTAAAAATTAAAGAATACTTAAATGAATGACCCTTCCAGACCTTCTTTTATCGGGGATTGTCTTCATGTGTTGATTGTTATGCTAGAGAAATAACATCTTATGTCTGATTACGTAAAAGGGGACTATTTTCTAGTTTTGGACACATACTTATGATTGACCATTTATTTAAGATATGTTATTGCATAATTATCCATTCATATCAGTTTATAGCAGTGTATGAGAGGCCACCTCAGAGTTTTGATTCAAATAATTTTGGAATGTTTACATTGTCTGAATGTTAAATTTTGATGCCTTTATAAAGAAGTAACTCTTACAGACCAATGATCGTATTGAAAGCTATGCATCTCAGTTCCTTATGCAAATTTACACAAGAAATTGAGCAGTCAATCAAAAGTTGTTTAACACCCTTCCAAAAACAAATGTAGTGATCACACATCTAGTTTTACTCTTGTCAAAAAATTGATTTTTTAATGAGCCCCTGTCAAAAGTTTGTGTTATGATAAGCTCTTTCATTTCTGTGTAGATTATTTTACTACATGTATTATATCATTATGAGCCTTAAAATTATGTACTTAGTTTAAGCATGGAAGTATAATATAATACTTTCATGGTTTAAGATGAAATTACCTATTAAAGAGAAAGTTACATTCCTATGAGTTGAATATTTCTTTTTTTTTATACCTATTCTGAAACATAAGAATAGTTGATAAATTGTTTTGCTCCAAATTATTTCCTTACAAGCTGGGGTGTTTTAAAAATCTTGAACAATCAGATAACTGTCTGTAAACGTGAATATTTTTGTAGGTTGTAGTTTTCTAGATTTGAATGCCTAATAATGATACATGGGGGTTAAATTCGCTTACCGGTATCAACAATATGTTTCCCCATCTCATCAATATTATTGCTTTCTACTCAACCATTCACATGGGGGATATTTCTTTTGCATTTTATATGATCACAATTTAAGTCAAATTAATCTGTGCACAAAATTTTGAATGTTTACAGTGATCCTTTTAAAACATAAATAGTAAAATATATGTCTTATTTCCATTTTTGTTGATTTATGAGATTGTTTAATTTATCAAAATGAAAATATTTATATCATGTTTTATAATTGTACTGACAAATTTATATATTTTACTTTTGCTGATATTATGATATATAGATCTTATATTACAGTTGCATATCTTGTCTTCCATGTGGCATATAGTATATTACTTATTCTCTTTCATTTAATTATTTCTTTTAATTTCTGTACATTTAAATGGCAATGTTTAATTTTATTCTGTTTTTAACATAAATGTTTTATTTTTTTTACTTAATATTTAAGGTTACTAATTTCAATAATTTTACATTATATAAATTGAATATGTAAATTTGTTCATATTTGTGGGTAAAGGCAAACCACAAATTTAAATATTCACAGAAGCACAAATTTTCTATAGGATTGTATGCAGACTGTGGCAATACCATGAAATCAGAAATCCATTTGATGATAGTACATGTTTGAAATGTAACAGGATGATGACTTAATGAAAATGAAAGGTAGAGAGAAATGGTTTTCTATTTGAATTTGAAATTGTTAGTTCTTATTCAAAGTACTTTCTTTTCTTTTTTAAACTATCTGATACAGACAGATTAAATTCTTCATTAATTGAAATTTATTCTGGTTTTTTTTATTGTTATGATTTTGAAAATTTTATAGATATATTGACATTTGTTTTATGTACATTCTAATGAGCACATCCAATTATTACATATCTTTATGTCCTTAATACTTAAAATGTTTCATTTTCAGATATATAAAAGTTCATATCACATGTAATAATAAGTTGGTGGATCATGACATTTTGCAATTTTTACACATATTGAATAGCTAAATTTGATATAATTCACCTGTTTGTAAATGTTTCACCAATAATGTTGATAATCACAGCTCCTTGTTTAAGGAGCACAACTTTAGATTTTATTAAGAATAAAACAGTGAATATCTATTTAGTGTAGAATTTTATTTCTTTATAGTTTAAATGAAATTTGTGGTAAAACTCTGTCAAGTTCCAAAAAATGTTTCTGCTCTGGTCAAAGTGGGAATGATTCACTCTAAAAAAAAACAGCCATATGTATGAGAGATACAGTAGAATTAAACTGCATGTTTTAGCTATTTTGTTTTAGGTAAACAAATGTTTTTAGGGGTAAAAACCTTCAACATGAACTAATTAGATCACAACTTACAGTGAGTTTTAGATAGCTTCTAGTTTAAATTGCGTGACAGTTTCAAATCATACAAGCCGTAATAATATCTCTTTCATGCATGTGCGCACACTCTTCATATTTTTTAATGTAGCACTCAGAGACGTGCTACATTATAGAATATGACCCAAAGAAATGATATCTTGTTTAATATCCTCATAACTTGGCCAATAGAAAATCCTTGTTTGTTCCTGTAACTTTATTAAGTTCCAAGTGGTACTATTCAACTAATTTATTAATACTTCCTTAAAATGAATTTTAAGGATGTACTTAGGTGAAATTAAAAAAATCTATTATTTAGAATTGATACTATAAGTTAGAAGAGTATTATTTAAGGAACAAAATAAGTTAAAAATATTGATAGGTTATGGAACTCCTTTTTGAGATATTTGATTATTTTTAAATGGCGGGAAAAGGCTGACTCAGACTTTTACCTTATATTTAGCATTGGCATTTTTGGGGTCTCAAATGGTAAGAAAAAAAATCTAGAATCTGCTTAAATTTTGGAAATGACCTTTTTATGAGCTATTGAAGTCTTCTATGAAAAGAAAAGTGGGTGGTATGGGGCAAAATATTTTACCCTCTATCGTAGGAAAAAATACAAGGAGTCCGAACATCTGACAAAAATTCCTAAACCTGACCTAACTACATCCTTAAGAACTACTTACTGTAAATTCAGAAATTATTGCGTGCATTTATTTTTTGCGATTTTTGAAGAATGGACGAAAATGCGAGATTAATTATTGCGATTTCAGGAAAAGCTGCCGACAGAAATATATATCAGATATCATAATGCGACTTCTTATTATTGCGATACGCATCCATTCGCATTATTCGCATAAATAAAAACCTCGCAATAATTTCTGAATTTACAGTATTGCAAAAAAAAAGGAGGCAGAAGATACAAAGTACTTGTGGTTAATTTAGTAAGGTTTTTGATTTTTGCTCTCTAAGACTCTTCATGTCATGAGATTTTAAAATTGTAAAGTGAATGATAGGTCCAAAATTAAACTTAGTTTGATTTTAACAAAAATTGAAATTCATAGGGTTCTTTGATATGCTGAATCTGAACATGTATTTAGACATTTTATTTTGGGCCCAGTTTTCAAGTTGGTCCAAAATTAAACTTTGATTCTTGGGGCTCTTTGATATGCTGAATCTATCCATGTATTTAGATTTCTGATATTGGACCATAATAGGTAAATGTCAAATTTCAAAAGTTCTTAGACCACATTCATCCTGTGTCAGAAACCTATGCTGTGTCAAATATTTAATCACAATCTAAATTTAGAGCTGTATCAAGCTTGAATGTTGTGTCCATACTTGCCCCAGTTGTTCAGGGTTCGACCTCTGCAGTCGTATCAAGCAAGCCCTGCTGTGGGAGCATTTTATTCGTATTTGCTTTTCTTGAATTCTTAGTAACAAGGTGATAGAAATTGGTGTCAAAATATTTGATGGTAAAAGGTAATATTTAGATAAATTGGATCAAATATTATACCAATCCTATAAATCAGGGCCAGGAAAGGAAAGTCAGTTGAACTTATAACAAAAGTTCAGGTTGAGTTAAATATGTATCAGAAATCTTTGAATAATACCTTGATGTGACATAAATAAACTCATCATAGATACCAGACTTATAAATTTTGCAACCCAGACGCCCATATTGTCTGCAAAAGACTCATCAGTGATGCTGAAATCAAAAAAGTTAAAAGGCCAAATAAAGTACAAATTTGCAGAGCATTGAGGACACAAAATTCCGACTGGGTTGGACAAATACAGTTAAGGTAATCTATTCCTGGGTAAAAATCCTTAGTATTTCGAAAAAATTCAAAGTTTTGTTTTGAATGAATTTAAAATAATGACCATATCAATTAAACTTCATTCAAATTTATTTACCGCTGGCTTCCATAGGTATTCTGTGTTGTCCGTCAAAAACACACACACTTAAAAGAGGTCATAGTTAATGACATGTTATGGCGATTAAGATGGTTGAACATGTATAAAAAATAAATGACCTGTGACAGTGAAATATATAAGGTTGAGCATGCGCCTGCCCCCAATGGTAAGAAAATATCCCCTAACATTTACATCAGTCATCATTCATTTCTTAATCATTAAGCTGGTCTGACCTGTGAAATTAGTTTCTGATTATCTGTCAGTCATGAAATGACTGATGGCTAGTTATGGATGTTCAAGGATTTGTATAGTGAGACTCACTTTACAAATCCTTGGGATGTTCCACATGCGTATTATGACCACTGTTATCTTGAAGTGCCATATAGTAAACCACTGCTGGTCCCAGACCCTGCTGTTGATCATGGTGTGTATGTCAAAAGACATCACAGTACCCTGTACCTATGGTGTTTTACAATGATCCTTAACAGGCTTGGTTTCCTGTAGCTATCTATGACATCTTCTTGTCTAATTCTGCTGGTGTAAATCTGATGAATCAGGGCCTGAAAAAGAGCCTCGTACTTGAGCTTAAACATCAAGATATTAAACGTTACAACAAAATCAAGCCGTTAAACATGACAGCAAAATCAAGCCGAAAATAGCTTAAACTATATTCTTACTTACCAGATATTGTGTCCTAATTCTTTCCCCATCATAAGTAGAAACGTTATTGCAACCAGATGATAAGGTAGTTTGGGATTATGAACAATAAATGACAGAATTATTTTTATATTTGCAAAAACGTAGTTTAAATGAGAATAACACATTATTAATTTCATAAGCCAGAAGCACTTCTGAATGCTCCAACCCAAACATTTTAAAAGCCAGACCTAAACACGTGAATAGCTATATGAACACACCGGACCTAAAAGCAAAGCCAAATTCATTTGGTGCTTTTTTGAAAATTATGATAAATAGTAAAGGTCACCGTGTTTGTTTTCAAGCAAGAAACTTGGCAAAATTCTCATAATGACATGGATTGTACAGAGGAAAAGCAGTTTTATGTGCATAGAAAAAAAAGAATTGATAGCATAAAAATTTACCTCTTAAAAAATGCTGTCAGGAAATGTAAAGAAAAAATGGTTCACTGAATTGATCCATTGCTATATGAACAGAAGAAAAAAGAGATGCCACGATAAAGTCAGATGAATTGAGTTGTCATCATTTATGAAAACACAAGTCTAGGACAATTGTTTGCTTTGTTGTCAATGTTGATACTGTACAGTTATTTAAACATTTTCTGTGATGGACAATACAATCACAAATTGTTTAAAAATCTGCATATATATTCTGTGAAAGCCTGTTGGTACTATTTGAGCAAAAACATCATTTGTTGGCCTGATAGAATATAAATTCGATACCGTTTAACATGACCCCTGCTCTACAAATATCTAGAGAAATAATCAGTGCTAGTCACCTGTAATTAACCAGTAATTAAGTAACAATGAAATGTGAAATGCGCAATTGGTTTAGTCAAATTGATACCGTTATTATTATTGATTATTTGAAAAATATAAACTCAAAAACTTGATACTGGGAACATGATTTGATAAAAATATGAATTGCTATTCACAAGAAACTGCTATGCATATTTAGTGACCTGCTGAAATGGATACACATGAAGTTAATTTTTCTGCTGAAAAAATTGCTTATTTTTCTAAGTAAATGTCTTATCTAATGGAAGACTTAAATATGATTTGAAATCATTCAGCCAATGAGTTAGACCACTATGATGTATGGTCTCCTAAGTATCTTGACCCTTTTCTAGTAAACACATTGGTATCAAATTAGACAGTTTTACAGCTGTTGATATTATTAATATTTTCCTCCAGTATATAAAAATGAGCTAGATGTGTGTCAATTTCAGCAGGTCATAAAAATTGCAAAGTTTACCTTAGATGGATTTGGCTATTTTTTAGGTCCTTTTTGGTCATATAGCTCTTCAACTGTTTCGGTTCTTATACATCATTGGCTTTCAAATATTCGGCTTTGAGCGTTCCTGATGAAGGTAAATCCAGAAATTTATAACGTGTTGTTTTCATTGTTTTGCATGTATATCAATTTCTTTTGAATTGCAATTTAATATTTTACAATTCCGGCTGCACCCAGCTTTTAGTCTCATTCATAGAATTTTATCTAATTTGATAGAAGTATTAATGAACAATCTAATTCATATGTTGTACCAAATTCTAAGCCTGGTATCTTCGACGAGTTTTTAAAACCACTAGATCGATACACTGGTGTTGGACGCTTTTTCCAAAAGGGTATCACCAGCCCTGCAGTAAGCCCTTCTGTGCTAGTAAGCAATATCAATGATTCCTCGTCTTATGTAATTTAATCTTTTTTGAAACGTTAAAATTATTTGAAATACTAAGGTTTTTCTACTTCAAGTCATAGATCGCCTTATTCATATCTGACACAACGTTTTTGAATTTCAATTTCGCTTTCAGCGCTCTTCAACTTCGTTATTGATTTACACTTCTAAATGTTTTGAATCGAGCTCCATTGAAGAATCGTATGTATATGAAACACGCGTACGGCGTACCAAATTATATCCCTGGTATTTTTTATGATTTTTTTTGATACGATATGATGTGTCGGTGTCTCCACTCACTAGCGACATGTCTTCGCGATTTTAGATCCTTAGATACCAGTATAGTCGACTGATCGGTAATTTTACCGATTTTGTCCTATTCCCGATTGTGACATTTTGACTGAGTGTGAATTCGCATAGCGATTGAGGCATCCATAGGAGGAGACGCATACCCTGTTGACACACCGGTCTCGGCCCTTTGGAGTTCTGATACCTGCGGTTTTCGTTTATTACCTTGATTTGTCTCTTCCTAACCAATTTACGAGATTGAAAATCAGTTAACTACTGTCACCCTACTTTACAAACACTGGATCGATACTGCTGCTGTTGGACCCCGAGGGAATCACCAGTACAGTTGTCAGCGCTTTTGTGCTGGTATGAAATATTATTGATATGTCATTTTCTGTACATTTACCATTTATAAAGTATTATTCAAAACATTAAGGTTTTTGTCTCGCCTTGACGAAGTCAAAAAGCTGGACATAGGTATGCTGTTTCCGGCGTTGGCGGCGGCGTCATTGTATTAGTTTGTGATTAGGTCTTGTTTATCTTGAACCACAAGTGGTAGGTCAATGATATTTAGTATGCAGTTGTATTAGCATTGGCACATCTCATTACCATGAAGATTATTTGGCCCCGCCCCCTCAGTCATGGTCTATTGACTTTGAAACTTTTGCTTAGTTTACATGTATTTGTTTGTGATTAGGTCAGTTTAAGGGGAACAGTTAGTGGTAGGCCAATGATAATTGGTATGCAGTTGTATAAGCATTAGCACATCTCATTTCCATGGAGAAAATATGGCTCCACCCCTCAGTCATGGTCTATTGACTTTGAAACTTTTGCTTAGTTTACATGTATTAGTTTGTGATTAGGTCTGTTTATGGGTAACCACCAGTGGTAGGTCAATGATATTTGGTATGCAGTTGTATAAGCATTGGTATATCTCATTTCCATGGAGATTACTTGGCACCCTCAGTCATGGTCTTGATTTTGAAACTTTTGCTTAGTTTTCATGTATTAGTTTGTGATTAGGTCAGATTGAGGGGAACATTTAGTGGTAGCTCAATGATAATTGGTATGGAGTTGTATAAGCATTAGCACATCTCATTTTCATGGAGAATGTTTGGCCCCACCCCCTCAGTCATGGTCTATTGACTTTGAAACTGTTGCTTAGTTTACATGTATTACTTTGTGATTAGGCCAGTTTAAGATGACCCACTAAATCAATGATATTTGGTATGCAAATGTAATGGCATTTGCAAGTTTCATTGCAATGGAGATTATATAACCCCACCCCCTCATTATGGTTCATTGATTTGAAACTTTTACATAGTTTACAAGTTAATGTTTGTGTTTATGTTTGTTTAAAGAGAACAACTTATGAAAGTCAATAGTACTAGTATTTGATATGCAGTTGTATTAGCAATGGCAAATCACATTTCCATGGAGATTGTTTAGCCCTGTACCTTCAGTCATGGTTCATTGACTTTGAATATTTGCATAACTTACATGTTAAAGTATTGCTATTTTAATTTCAACATTTGCATTATCAAAATAACAAATCGGCGAGACATATCTCTGTGTTAACAGTTTATTCTATCAACAGGCACAAATAGCCTCAGCCATATTTGTCACAATTGTTTCCGAAAGCTTTGATTCGAGGACCACTGTTGAGTTATTTCTAGACGATACGTGCGCCAGGTTGATCAAACTGTAATTAAGCCGTTATCATTTTTTCTTATTGTTTGTGAAATTAACTTTTTGATATTACATATACTTTTATAGATCAAAATAATACTTTAGCGTGTCAAAGGTGATTAATTATTTAAGTTCATGGTTTCATCTTCCTGTAAAATTGTTCTTTTTGGTAAAATTTAGATTTCATGGTTGGTTCCTATACCTCAGTTTGTAATGCATATCAAATATTTAAAGGCATTATCAATAAATTCCATCGCTATAACCATGGAAGTATTATAGCCAATATAATACTTCCATGCTATAACTATCAAATAAAGTAAAACAATGCGATGATTCGTCAGAACACAGTGAGATGTCAATTTTTAGAATTCATACATGTGCCTGTGGAATTATGTAAGCACACAATTTTTGTGGTTGTCGTTTTTGTAAATTTGTTAGCTCAGCAAATATATAGAACAGTTGAATGTTATTCTGTTGGAGTATTTTTTCTAAACATTACCATACAGTTTGCGATTTTAAAATTTAATCGAAGGGTTGTTTAAGAGAGTAAAGTTTTTTTAACATAAAGAACCTAAGGACATTAATTACAAGTACTTTGCCCTTTTTAGTGCTTAAAATCTATTTTAAGGAAGTGGATAATAAATTGAATTGCACCACTTCAAATTTATTTAAGTTGAGGGGAAAAATAAGGAAGTTCTATTCGCCATGTTTCGAGGGTTTAAATGACATTATTCGGATCGTATACTTCATCACGTATGTTGTGTTTTTATTAAAAGAGAGGCGAAAGATACCAAAGGGACATTCAAACGCATTAGTCGAAAATAGACAGACAACGCCATGGCAAAAAAAGGGGAAAGACCAAATGACAAACAACATAGAAAACTAAAGGCTGAGCAACACGAAGCCCATCAAAAAGCGGGGTGATCTCAGGTGCTTTAGAAGGGAGAGCAGATCCTGCTCCGCATGTGGCACCCGTCGTGTTGCTCATGTAAGTACAAACCCGGTGATAAATCTTATTCATTAGGTGACATTCGGGGAAAAGGAGAACGGGATTGTGGTTACGACGATTGGAAGATATCCGTCGCATCTGTGAAACAGATATTCAATAACGGTCAACCGGGATGATTTCAACTTCACCACTTGGAACTCTTGTATTTTTCACTGTACACTCAATTTAAAATTAGGAAGAGCGTGAACACGTGGACGAGACAGATTTCAACTTTTTTTTTAATTTTTCAAAGCCAAGGGTTTCAAGTCGATCCCAGATGCCGTTTAGAAATAGCAACTAGGTATGAATTAAACGGTTTATGAACAATCAAGATGAAGAACAGCATCGCATTTCATGAGAATCAAAATATACCGCGCATCATTTTCCAAAATTTGACCCCAAACAAAAGACTAGAAGTTACCTTAAAACTAAAATGTATAGTATACTTTCTTTACTGTATTTTAATCCTGGTATATATGATGAGTTTATTTACAGCCACTGGGTCGATACCACTGCTGGTTAAAGTTTCCTCCCTGAGGTTATAACCAGCCAAGTAGACATCACTTCTGTGTAGACATAAATTATCATTGATATGGTCAAAATCATAAATTAACTGTTTACAAAACTTTGAATTTTTCGAAATACTGGGGATTTTCTACACTAGGAATATATTAATTTAGCTGTAATTGGCAAAACCTGTCGGAATTTCGGGTCCTCAGTGCTCTTTAATATGTACTTTATTTGGCTTTTTTAACTTTTTTTATTCGAGCGTCACTAATGGGTCTTTTTGTAGAAGAAACGCGCGTCTGGCGTACAAAATTTTAATCCTGGTATCTATGATGAGTTTATTTACTGAAATGTATGGCCATTGTCTTATATGTGAATCATACCCGCTTTTTGCTCTATTTATTTTCCTAGCTTCTAACATGTCTAACGTTAATTTGCATTGAGACATATTTTTTTTTTTTGGCAGACTTACTTTTAGATTTTCTACATGGGAAAGCTGTTATAGCTACTACTTGTCATAGGTTCGTCTTGAAAAGTTTTGATCAAATGAAAATTAATATGTCTGCTCAAAAGCGCACGTACGCATGTGTACACCAGATAGTTAATTTTGACATGTACTCAAGTGTTCATCAGATAGCTAATATATTACACTAAAAAATTGATGAAGTGGTTTATACGAATACATCAGATGTATATTGATAACTACGGGATGGAAACATTAAGGTTAGTACTCTTTTTCTAGAGATTTTAAGAAAAGAACCATCACCGGAGTCATATTACCACTTGTTTTTTGTTTTCTGTGCTATTCGAAATGTTGTTACGACTGTCATACTAGTGAGAGGTTTAGATAGATATAATAGCAGGTTTAATCCACCATTTTCTACATAAGGAAATGCCTGTATCAAGCCAGGAATATGACAGTTGTTTTCCATTCGTTTGGTGTGTATAAGCTTTTGATTTTGCCATTTGATAAGAGACTTTCCGTTTTGAATTTTCCTTGGAGTTCGGTATTTTTGTTATTTTACCTTTTGTTACCTAGTAGTAATATATTGTAATTAATTTATTTTGATATGCATAATATTTCAATATTTTCATATTGTTTTTTGCTGCAATTGATGAATGCTATGGATTTAAACTCATCATAGATGGATAAGATAGACATAATAAGAACAGGTTAGTTCTTATATCCACATTTATCATTTGTCAGAATATTTCCTAAAGATAAATCCACGCACATAAAGGACATACACCTTTGTTAAAATGTCCAATGAATCAATAGTTTTGTGAAATATGTTTGGTTCTAAGATGAAAGAATAAGTGATTTAACTATCTTATATATTTAACCCTTCAAATCAAGCAAGTTTTTGTCCACCAAATTAAGGGTTATTTTATCTGTTATAACAAGGATTTAAATGGATATTTGTGAATTTTCAAATTGAAAAAAAATGCGCATGGTATGTATGCTCATATTGCTAGAAAAAAGATCGTGTTACTAATTTCAATGTCTGTTCGGAGAGGGTGCACAAATTCGCTTTCATAATCTGGTTCAAAGAGTTAAAATAAGAGTTGCTTAATACAGAAATCATCGAGGACTCTTGTGAAAGCGTCGGTCGATAAGAATAATATACAGTGTTTACGTATGATAATATAAATATACTGTATGTAAAAAATGTATATAATACCGTCAAAAATATCTTATAACATAATAATAAATTAAGATAACATTTTTTTTTCAATATTATCTGTCTGATGTATAATTGCGTTAAACATAATATTCACCGTAAACAATTCTGATTATCAAACATTTTGAACATCATGCATCAAAGCAATCAGGGTTTAAAAAAATATACTCAAATATGCGTTCTGTGACCTTTACTGTCATAAGCATTTACTATTTAATAATTTGATAGTATATTTCAAAAGGGGAAGAATATACCAATTGGACAATCGAAAATCCAAAAACGAAGAAAAAAACATCGTCGCCAAAAAAGGAAAAGTAAAACAATAGCTCACAAAACACTACACAGAAAAGCAAGAGACTGAGAGACGAGAATCCCACAAGAAAACAACAAAAAACTGGAATTAGACACAGGTGCTCCAGAGGTTAACCTACTTTTAATTTTGTTTTACAATTTTAGACGTATATTTTATTCTAGAGAATTCATATTAAACTGATATTTCGAAAAAAATAAAAAAAAGCTTTTAACCAAAGTCTTTGGTGAGGTTTGTGTTTGCTCATGCATTAGTTTCTATGTAGTGTTATGAGGACTTGTTTGTCTTTCGTATCCTTTCGCTTTAGCCATGGCGTTGCCAGTTTCTCTTTGACAAATAAATTTTAAATGTCCCCTTGGTATCTTCCAAATCTTTTTTAAATTGAAAAGTTTTCAAGCTGTCTCAAAAGAAGTAGTACTGAAATGTTCTGACATCTGAAATAAGAGTGCTTGATCGTGCCTTTCCATCTATTCTAACCAAGAAATTCGTACAGTGGTAAAAAAAAGAGGCGGTAAATACTAAGGGAGCATTAAAAACTCATAAGTCGTAGAAAATCTGACAACACCATACAAAATGAAAACGAAGAAAAGAAAAACAAGTCTACAAAACACTACATAGAAAATAAAAGGGCTGCTCCGGAAGGTTAAGCACTTCCTGCTCCATTTGTGCTACCATTCGTTTTGCACATGCAAGTTTATATCCAGTGAAATGTCTGATTTGGTGATGTCACAATCGATGAACACGGGACTGTGGTTGCGACAACTGAAACATATTTGTGGTCATCTGTGACACAGATATTCCATAACGGCCAACCAACTAGGAATGGTGTCCGTAAAACTTTCAAATGGATGACTTCAAATTCACTATTTGGAACCCTTTCTTCAATAGCATCTTTATAATCAGCAACCCCCAAAAAGGAACTCATGAATGGAAACGCAAGCTCTGGAATATCGTATTAACTGAGAGATATATACTTCATATGCAGGTGCTGCTGGAATATTGTTACATAGAAATGGAAAGTTCATAACTGAGAGGTGAAATCGTTCCTTTTCTCGTATAGTTATAAGCAAGTTTCACGCAAGTTATACGCAAATTTCATTGTTTAATTGGCGATTGTAGTATTACGTTCATTTAGATAAATTATTAGCTTGCTTATCTCGTATTTTATGCCTTAAACTAAGGAAGAAAATCAATCTGAAATTATTTTTTTTTTGTCGGGCCTGTGATGTAAGCCTCGGAAGCGACACAATTAACTATATAGCGATCCTACTTTTCGTATTCTGTGTCGTCAAAACTTATGCCAGTCTGTGATGAAAGTTTTTAAGACATTAATAACTGAGTCAAACCTTCATAGAATTTTACGAACCTTTGAGAGAAGCTTATTTAAAATCGAAAGACAGCACCAGAGCAAAAATTTAGAAACATTTTTCTTCATTTTTCCGTATTCTATAGATAAATGGTCTTCGATTTTTAGCTTTATAGTTTATAAGTAGTCTGGGATTAAACTTTTTACAAAATATTAACCATTAACCTTGTCAAGCCTTCACAGAATTTTATGACACTTTGAAGGCAGCTTTTTCATGATTAAAAGGTAACACATTAAGTAAAAATTTTAAATCAAATATTTTTCATTTTCAGTCTTTTATTGTCAATATAATGGAATTTTATACGACTTTCATACAAGTGAGAGGTTTAGCTAGCCATAAAACCAGGTTTTATCCACCATTTTCTACATAAGGAAATGCCTGTACCAAGTCAGGAATATGACAGTTGTTTTCCATTCGTTTGATGTGTTTGAGCTTTTAATTTTGCCATTTGATAAGGGACTTTCCGTTTTGAATTTTCCTTGGAGTTCTGTATTTTTGTTATTTTACTTTTTACTGATAGATGGACTTATATTATTTATAGTTAACATATATATTCAATTTAGGGTTATAGTTCTATACATCAATGAAATGTTTCGAAACTTAGACAGAAGCTTCTTCAAGGTCCAGAAATAGCTTCTGAAAATGTTTTTAATTAATTTTGTTTTACGTATTTTACTGATAAATAAACTTAGTTTTTTGGCAGTCAACACTATACTTTTACACCGACAGCGGCAATCGCTAGCGATACATTGAGTTCTATGGAACCCTTTCCAATATTTAGTAACAGTAAATGACGATTCGCGCCTAGCAAACAAAAATGAAAGCAGCAAACTCGGTGTGTTTTATTTAAGGCTTTTACCATTCTGTTTCTTGTATACTGTAAAATCTTTATCTTTATTTATTTGAATCCAGTTTTCCTGGACACGGAAAAGGCAAACGAGATACGTGTATGTTAATTGAGAGAATGATTCTTTAAATCTGTGTCTTTATTAGTTGAATCGAATTGCATAATATAGTTCTGAATTAATTAGATATAGGAAGATGTGGTATGAGTGCCAATGAGACAACTCTCCATCCAAGTAACAATTTATAAAAGTAAACCATTATAGGTCAAGGTACGGCCTTCAACACGGAGCATTGGCTCACACCGAACAGCAAGCTATAAAGGGCCCCAAAAATTACTAGTGTAAAACCATTCAAACGGGAAAACCAACGGTCTAATCTATATAAAAACGAGAAACGAGAAACACGTATGAACTACATAAACAGACGACAACTACTGTACATCAGATTCCTGACTTAGGACAGGTGCAAACATTTGCAGCGGGATTAAACGTTTTAATGGTACCAAACCTTCTCCCTTTTCTGAAACAATAGTATAACATCACAACATAGAAAGACACACTATAAAATATCAACTGGAAGGCTTAACTCAATAAATAAACGTAAATTAACACACATTGAACGAATAAATTTGATCTGTGATACCTGAATGCAAATACATACTTAATAAAAATTATAAGGGATAAATAATTAAGATCAAAAGTAAATAAACAGGTTTAAACAAAGTTAAAGTATGATACCACTGTGAAATGTTAAACAATTTTTAGAAAATCATCACTTTTGAAACATACAATGTTATAATCTTTATTTGTTCTGTACTCAAAACCTATTATCTTCCTACAGATATACATGATATGATGTCATCTGTTAAATGGACAACAAGAATATCATTTTATATCAGTAGTCAAGATAAATGCATATACATTACAATTCAAAATCCAACAAAAGAGACGGGTTTCCATGAATTCAAAGTACGATTAGTTGAGCTTGACAAGGATGATGAGGATGTGAAACTTGTAATATCTGACAGCACATCACAGGTATATATTATATTTTGTCAGTTATATATCTTTTTACAAAAGCTTTTATATACGTTATGTCTACTAAAGATACGATATGGACATTTTGCTAAACTGTTTTAATATATCAAATTCAACATGTGCGTTTCATACGTTTTGGATATGTTATCTGATGGTTAATTTGCACCGTACGGCCTTCAACAATGAGCAAAGCCCATACCGCATAGTCAGCTATAAAAGGCCCAAAATGACAAATGTAAAACAATTCAAACGTTAAGTCCACTTTCAATTTTCTTTGTCAAAGCATTTGAAGATAAAAGGTTTGTACACAAGTTCATATCAACATAATGTATACTTTGTGGACACTATCTTGTATCTTGCTATCAGCCAGCAGAGATTGACGAACGGACAGCTAAATAAATATATGCTTCTGATATCCTGCTCCAATTATTTGCCCATTTTGTTCTATTGAGTCTTTTCTGTTGGTACGGAATATTCTGCCTTACTAATCAAGACATGGAGTGCAAATAAACAAAATATAAGATAAAATTGCATTGCAAGCTTTATTGGTTTCGCCACAGAGTGTCCTTTAGGTCCGAAGATTTGTGAAAGGTAGGCACACCGATCTAGTTAGAGGTATATGATATTTTGTGTGTTAAAGATATTAAGTCGTTCAGGTAACTAGGCCTATACGGTTAAAACCTTCACGTGTTTTGGTACTAATACATCCTAGGCTTTCAAATATTCGGCTTTGGTCGTTCTTGATGAAGCTAAATCCAAATTGATTTTTTTTTTAATATTTACTCATGTAGTATTCAGTGTTCGTAATTTATTTACTATGCAATACTCGGGGCAAAAAAATCGTTGTCATTTCAGTACGAAGAAATATTTCGACATAACAAACATAAAGCATGTGTGGTATATTAATTAACATATCATACTTATCATTACATAACATATACGATTTTTTTCTAGAATGTATTCATATTTGACAATTTACAACCAGGTCGATATAAAGTTACAGTAAGTACAGAATATACAAATTAATTTGAAATTCATGGTTTTATATTCGAAATAATGATAAAAAGATATTAGACAAACTATTTTAAAAAGGAGATCAATAGAAAGCAAAACTTAGAGGACAATATAAGAATGAAACAAGTCAAAAATCCGAAACGATCATATGATTGTAATTTTAGAATCAATCATACTAAAAATTGGATATTCATACCTTCTTTTCTGTATTTAATAAGACAGAAGTAGATTGATGTTTTGGTGACTTGTTAAAATTTAGAAGAAGGAGAGTAGAACATATAGATATATTGTCAGGAGTTTTATGAGATGTTCACAAAAAGCATATAGATATTTATTTTCCTTTTAATAATTTTATTTTTTTACGTTTTTAGTTGAGCTTTATCAAACTTTTAATTGGCTTTCTTTTGTTAAGGTTGAACCAAAAAATTGCGACTCCTGTGGTAGAATTACAACAAGACCTATAACAATAGAAAGCAGTAAGTAACTAAGCAGTTACATCTATAGACACCAGAACTTACTTTAAAATATTGAAATACTATATATGTATATATATGTATTATTTTATTTCTCATGAACTTAACAGGCAGGCGAAAGATACCAAAAGATATCCAAACTCATAAGTCGAAAACAAACTGACAATACCATGGCAAAAAACGAAAAACGACCAAAAGACAAACAACAGTATACAAAGCACAACATAAAACTAAAGACGAGCAACACGAACCCCACCAAAACCATAAATTATCAACCTGTTTGTTACAGTCAGCTTTCTAATACAATTTAATATATTATAATGCTTTGACACAACTGACTTCCCTCAAAGAGCCACTGTGAGCTATCGCTTATATACGCTGTCTATAGTGTGTTAAGTGGTCATGGCATAGAAGTTCCTTTATAAAATTAGTTCAAAATGGAAGAACTATTTTTCAATGTTATTTTCACTGAAAAAAAATTACAGTATTTGTCCCCGATAGGATAATAATAAACTTGTATAGAATATTTGTTCCAATAGAAACAGATGTAATAATACTTTATACCGAAGAGGAACTTCTGTTAGGAGGTACTCATGTACGCTTACAGAGACGTACTTTATTTTACATCTTTTACATTGATAAAAGTAGTCTACATCATCTTTAAGGGATCTAATTTAAAAATTTTGCCTGATGAACCTATCCAAATTATATAGTGATTTACACTAGCCGAGTAGTCAGCACTTTTGTGTTGACATAGAATATCATTCATATGTTCTGTAAATCTACTATGTACAAACTGTTGAATTATACGATTCAACAAGGTTTTTTCTATCCATAAAGGTATAGATGACTAGGCATTATTTACCACAACTTTATAGAATTTCGGTTTTGAATAATCTTCAAAGTCCTACTTTAAATATTGCCTTCCAACTGTTTTGATTCGAGCGTCACTGGTGTGTCTTATGTAGACGAAACGCACGTCTCAGACGTACAAACTTGTTAGTTTGATGGGTTTTTACAACCACTGCATGGGTCGTTACCACTGTCGGTTGGAGGTTTTGTCCACGAGGGCAGTCAGTACCTTCGTGTTGACATGATATATCAATGATATGTTAATTTTTTTCTGTAAATAAAGTATTGAATCAGTTGAAACATTAAGGTTTTTCTACCTCAAGTATATATTTCCTTAGTATCTATCTACTTTCCGTCAAACATGGCTGCAACCATTATCTGCCAAACAACTTAACAAAATTGGACTAGAAATTCGATGAAATAGTATATAAAAATCGCTTAAAGGAAAAAAAATGCCACTCTGTTTTTTGTAAATATTACTTTACAATATTAAGTTATGAATGATGACTGCAATGTCCAACTCGCCACTGATACTTTTACAAACTTTGTCGAAGACTTTTATGGAAACATCTCTGTAAATGATGAAGGGTTGATTGCTAGCAAATTTTGAGAAATGATACATCTGAAACCCATGATTGAAGGCTTAATAAACTAAATTAGAAAAGTTCTATTCAATCACAAGGGCCAGATAAGTCTTAACAGGCCATTCTTGATATCAATCACAGATATAAAGAAAGCGATTAAAGCCTTTCCAGTTAAAATATTATCCTAAAGACAAGACAGTTTCGCACAGAACGCATTAATATTCTGTGTTGGAGAAGCTGGCGAAACATTAGTTTTAGTAGATATAACGTTTACCCTTACTAATAGTGACGTTTTATTACTATTACTATTACAAAAGTACCTTCAAAGAACATAGCATCAAATGAAAAACCAGATACCACTACTGACAGCACCAAGACTACAACTTCGTTGTTAGTTCCACAAACAGGGGAAATAGTATCAAAAGAAATTCTATATACCGAAAAAGAAACAACCCTTGGTAAAACTTCTTTATCATCGGTACATGCACAGAACATAGCATCTGATGGAAAGCCAGATGCCACTACTGACAGCACCCAGACTACAACTTTGTTGTTAGTTCCACATACAGGGGAAATAACATCAAAGGAAATTCTATATACCGAAAAAGAAACAACCCTTGCTAAAACTACTTTGTCATCGGTACATGCACAGAACATAGCATCTGATGGAAACTCCTTTACCACTATTGACAACACCCGTACTGCAGCTTCATTAAGATTTGCATATACTCGGGAGATAACGTCGATGAGTTCAGCTTCATGGACCAATCAGAAACCAGGAATGATTGTTGGCGCTGTACTTGGAACCTTTTTTGGTTTATTGTTGGTATTCGTATTGGTCTACACTGTGTACATTAGTAGAAAAAGAAAGCATGGTAAGCTATATAGCATAGAGTTAAAATCTTAAATACCCTATATAAATATTGTACAGTATACAGTGTTCTGCCTATGATAATAGCTAGTTTACACACCAAGGTTTTTATACTTTGAAATGTTAATTTGATTTGACACATTCTTTCGCCGAAAAGATGAGCATATTCTAGATTTTACAGAAATATTACCGGTGCAATTTTGCACAGGATTGGGTATCGAATATCAATACAGTTTAAAAGAGAGGCGAAATATACCAGAGGGACATTCAAACTCTACTTCAACCACTAACTTTATTACTCGTGCTAAAATCGGTTTGTATCAGAGTTGATTAATTCGCTAAACAAAACAAGGCTAGATTTACGAAGTAGGATTATACACGAGGTTATGGAAGTGTCGTACGTAGAAATATAAAAAAAAAAACATGGATGTTTAGCGATACAATGATAATTACAGTTTCAGTATCCTGTACCCTATCAGCAGTACATCTACACAAAAAGAAGGATTTTACTTTTATATTTTTGACAAAATCTTGGTAAAAGTGAATGACGTTAGTTATGCATGAGATCTGTCAATACATATATTACCGAAAAAATGCTACATGACCTCGCGCGACAAAACGATCGAAGTTACAAGATATTCCCTACTTTCCTTTTCAGGAGAAAAGTTAGTGTGCATACTTATTTATATTTTCGAATTAAGTTTTTCCTTAGTATTCATCTAATTTGGAATGAGAATTTGTAATAAAACCTCAAAATACTTGAAATTGATATAATGCTAAATAATTCTTGAGCTTAGTAAATGTAACAACCATACATTTACAACCCAACTTTTTCAGAACTTAGAAAGATTGATCCAGACAGGCCTGCCGAATGCGACGAACCCTCCGATTCGACCATTAAAACGTTTGTCATTAAAGAAACTATAGGTAAGATGATTTGATACAGTAGGCCAAAAAAGAGGGATATTCAAAAATCGACGAAAAACAGACAATATCATGAAAAAAAAAACAACAGTGCATAAATCACTACCCAGAAAACTAAAGATTGAAAATTTCATTACTTCAGCTTGCAATATAATTAATTTCATTTTTACTGTTTTGATGAAGGTATTCTAATTATGAGCTAGTATACCGTTGTCAGTTAAAGTATCATAATCAGCCATCAACAAACACTCGAGAACACACATGTCTCCCAGATTCGATATATTTCAAACAGACTTATACCATGTTGGTTGTTAGGAGAGGAACTCCATTTAAGGAATGACTGTAATATTTTTTCTGTCTATGAAGAAATAACATAAAAAATGTGGTGCACACTGAATAACCCGCCTAGCGAGTTATTTTAAAGTGTGCACCACATTTTTTATGTTATTTCGAATAGACAGAAAAAATATTACAGTCATTTCTTATAATTTTATTCTAAATTCCATTTTAAACCGGAGTAAACCATGAAAAAACGTTGATGACGTCACGGTCACATGACAAAATTATGTCTATGAGCTGATAAACAAAACAACGTCAGCCAATCAGAAGACGCGTTACATCCAAAATTAAATCATATTTACATACATCATTCCACTATGTGATGCCAAAATCATATTGAGAATCAAGTTTCAGTTACCAGAAGAGCTTAAAAAGGGGAAGGTACTAAGATAGCAATAAATAAAGTTCTTGTTTAAAAGTGAAACCAATCGTGCTGCTCATGGCAAATACAATTCGGTGACATGTTGCCTCCGATTATACCATGACATTTGAAACATACTCGAGGCATTAACTACCAGAATATTCCTGAAGGGCCAATGCTTTGAAACCTTCCAAATTGATGACTTAAACGTAATCATTCAGAACCCTCGGCTTCGTTTTCAGTCGTCCATCGGCATCGGTTTCAAGAAAAAGAAATTCTAGGTATAGATCCATTCTTTTGTATCTCTAGTAACTTAAATTTCAAATACATTTCAATACTATTAGATGTAAAGACCAACTTAAATATGAATTAATGAGAGAATGGAAGTCGACATATTTAGTTTCGGAATTTGGGTGAGTAGTATCATCGGTTTCTAGACCACTATATTTATCATCAACTTTAAAGAGAGTAATTTATAATTCTATATATCAATACCAATGTACGGAATAAGCCGCGAACAGAGAAACGGTTTATTGGTGTGGGTCAATCGATAAAGTGTTTTAAAATGGTTATTTGTATGTTTTGCCAACCGATGAAACGGGTGTTATTTATTCCTTTGAAAAACACCAATTACCAACCGTTATTTAAAAAGTTACTTTATTGAGACACAAGAACGCTATTTAATACCTTTATCTGTTGGCATTCCCATATCAGCATTTTTTTCTGTTTGCACTTTCTTGCAATGTGTCCTAAGTAAATCCGACGGATGTGTCTGATTTCAATTTACAAATTGAATTCTGTTTCAAATGTTAACATACGATGGAAAAAAAAACGGTAATCAAAGATACTAGTATCTAAACTAAACTAGGGTGGGGAATCGATACCCCAAGCCTGTTCTTGTTCTGTTATTTCTAGTCGTGCTAATTTTGTTTTACATCTGAATTTATTTGAAATTTTCTTTTATTCAGACGATCTCCTCAAATTACCTAAAGTATACATTGTAAATGCAGAAGACCATTTACCACATGTGAAAGCTGTTGAAGCCTTTGCTAAATTTCTAGATGTGCAATGCCACTGCGACGTAATTTATACTCCGTGGTGTCTTCGTGAATATCTAGATGATAAATTTAAATGGGTCATCAACTCAATTGACAAAGCCGATTTTGTCATTATTGTGAACTCTGACCTAACTTACCATCAATTTAAATCCTGGAAGAACAAGGAAAACAGATGTGGCAACTCAACAGACCCAAATCAAACATTTGATTTTTTCATGTCACCAATCAGTCAAATAACTGAACGTATTATTAATGTTAACAATCCTTTCAAATGCATAGTTGTACATTTTAGTTACACTGCTGATAACTTTACTCTGGACGAGCTATACACAGGAGCGGACTATTTGATTCCCAAACATATTCACGAGTTAATATGTCAAATACATCAGATGGATACCCGTCGTGTCGGTTATTGCAGTATTGGGTATTTTGCAGATCTTTTGTCTTCCACCACAGAAGGGCAAGATTTTACTAAATGCATCGCCACAGCATCAAATTTTGAAACACAACGTACCAATTCGTTGAATAAAAATGTTGGAATCAATTTGCAGTGTGAATCTAATATTGATATTGACTTTAATTCTTTTGAAAGTGTAAATTGTAAAAAACCAAGCTATGAATCTTTCCTTGATTACAATATAAATGCACACATTTCGCCAACTTCGCATAATCAAAACAACGTCATTCAAGGCAACACACTTAGACAGGATTCATTCGAAGACAATAATGCTGTTGCTATTACAGATATTTTATATCACCAAACATTACAGAACTGTTATTTATTGAATGATAACTTCAGTTTTAAAGCCCCAAGTGATACTAACAATGACGATGTTTTGAGCCAGAACTTACATCAACAAATATATGATCTAAACAAGAGGATGATGGATCCATGCTACCAAAATAGTATGGAGCCTCGCTGCCAACATGCAGTGTTAAGTCGAGAAGATGAAGCCATAAGTTTGGGTGGTCAGAGCGTTTGAATCTTAAATTAACTTCTAAAATGGTTTAAAATGTTAATTTGACGTTCTGGTGTACCTTATTATAGTCAATAAAAATTTGCAACCGTATTTCGTTATGTCTTATTTTACCAGTTAAACCATATGAAAAACGTGCAAAAACTTTGCGGAAATGACTATCTATATATATATATATATGGCAAAAAGCTATCGTAATAAACAAACAAGGCAATATAATAATAAAAAAAAAACAGTATGCAAACGAACAAACAACAAACACATCGAAGAAAACAAAAACGTCTGTAACTAAAACATACATAAATCTAACTATTAGGTGTGTGTAATTCGTCTTCATAAATGAAAACAACACAAAAAGGAATATAAAAAGGACAGCTGAATACATCTATGGTAACATTTGTCTGAGAAAGTTGCAACCTTAGTTTCATAGTAGTTTCTATTAAGTCTATCAATGGAGAATTTAAGAAAAAAAATGTATGAATTATGTCATTACCGAAGCACTGACTACTGAGCTGAAGATCCCATCTGGGACTAAGTCAACGATGAGTGCAATCTACCCAGTGCACGTATTTTCACATATTAACTAAGATATTTAAAGAAGACTGTATACGTAGGGAAATATACCACATTTACGTTGACCTCAAAATGATAGGTAGAACAGATGTATAAATACCAGAATTAATTATGAGGACATTACTAAATAGATATATATTTATTGTTTACAGCATTTAGTAAATCGGAGCAGTACGCTATTTATTTATTCCGTAACATTATTAGGAAAACTCTGCCGCAGAGGACTGCAAAAGAGAGGCGAAAGATACCAAAGGGACATTCAAACTCATAAGTCAAAATTAAACTGACAACGCCATGGCTAAAAAAGAAAAAGACAAACAATAGGACACAAAACACAACATAGAAAACTAAAGACTGAGCAACACGAACCCCACCAAAAACTGAGGGTGATCTCAGGTGCTCCGGAAGGGTAAGCAGATCCTGCTCCACATGTGGCACCCGTCGTGTTGCTCATGTTAGTACAAACCCGGTAATAAGTCTAAATCGGTAGGTCACATTCAGGGAAAAGGGGACGGGATTGTAGTTACGACATTTGGAACCTATCCGCTATCATCTATGAAACGGATATTCCATAACGGTCAACCAACTCATGATGGCGTCCGTAAAATTTACGAAGAGATGATTTCAACTTCACCGCTTGGAACTCTGGGTTTAATAGCTTCCTTGTGAGCAGCAACCCTCTATCAAGGAAATCATTATAGGAAATACAAGCCCTGGAATATAGTATCAACTGGGAGATATATACTCCGTATGCAGGCGCTGCTGGAATGTTGTACATAGAAATGGACAGTTCACAATCGGGAAGATGAAATCATCTCTTTTGTCGTAAAGTTTTGTTTTCAACCGACCCTCAAAATTTATGCAAAAAATGAGTAACAAAAATATCCCAATCAAAGGTAAATCCAAAATAGGGAAGTCCATAAAACTTACTAAACCAAATGCTCGACTATATCAACCAAAGGAACAACTGAAAAACAACTGTCATATTTCTGACTTGGTATGGACGAATATGGTTGATCAACCTGGTTTTTGCATGTAGCTTAACTTCTCACTTATATGACAGTTCACTACCATAGCTCCCTTTTATTGAAAAAACAGTGTCAGCAACACAAACAGACATAATTGGTTATCGTGACAATAATTGGGATTAAGTAGCCATAACTGTGTAAACATACATCATAGATATATAACATTACTAGATAAGATAATTAAACTGTACGTTACCAATTTTAATAAGATACAAATCATGGTAACAAACAAACACTGAAAGAATCGCATGAACTACAAAATAAGCGAGACCGGATGGATCGACAAGGAATGCCTCTACTTCTATGCATTCATCACCCCGCCATGCACACCCAAACTCAAACAAAATGTCACAATCGGGAATCGGACACAATCGGTAAAATTACAGGGATAAGACTACTATTCTGGTATCTAAAGATCTAAGTAAGGCAACAGTTGTTATCCGATGTTCAAATCTCAGCAATCGACTAAGAAGCCAAATCAAGGTTGCAAACTATAAGTGAGGAAATGTCTTGTAAACTCCAAAACGACCGCTTAAACATGTCGTCAGTGAGTTTAGGCACAGACACATTGTATCGGGCAATTAATTTTGTGATGGCGACTATCATACTTACAAAATAACATGATTCTAAAATTAGTCTGGTGCATCATATGGGCTTTTTGAACAGTTATATCATCATTGGTTCTCCAAACCAAAGATTACATCCTCGTCAATTGGTATCTGGTGGGTAGTTGTTTCACTGTCAATCACACCACATCTCCTTATTTTTATATTTAGAGATTTGGGTGTACATGTTTTTTCCTATTCTTGTGTCAGTAGATCAGTTCTTAACAAGTCTCTAAGACCACTCCAAACTGATTTATAGTTCTTAAATTCACTCGCTCCAAAATATTGGAAACCTAAAAAAGTTTACAGCCATTTTCTGAATACTTTCTAAATTAACGCTCCATTTAGAAGAAAAAAATAACAAATCAATTCACAGTAAATTTCCGAACTTTTTGGTGTGAAAAAAAATGTCTCGCTCCTGAAAACTGTTTTAGTTGTAGGATAAAACTCAAAAGAGAGGCGAAAGATATCAAAAGGGATATTCCATGTCAAAATCGAAAACAAACTGACAATTTCATGGCAAAAAACGAAAACAAACTGTCAATGCCATGGCAAAAATTAAAGACTGAGCAAAACGAACCCCTCCAAAAACTGGGGTGATATCAGGTGCTCCGGCAAGGTAAGCAGATTCAGCTCCACATGTGGCATCCGTATTGTTGCTTATGCAAGTGCCAACCCGGTAATAGTCTAATTCGGTAGGTCACATTCGAGGAAAAGAGGATGGGATTGCGGTTACGACAATTGGAACATAAGCGTCGTCATCTGTGAAACATATATTCTATAATGGTAAACCAAGTCGTGATTGCGTCCGTAAAATGTTTGAAGGGATGATTTCAACTTCACAACTTGGAACACTAGGTTCAATAGTTTCCTTGTAAGCAGCAACACTCTATCAAGGAAATCGTGATAGGAAATGTAAGCTCTGCAATGTCGTATCAACTGGGAGATAAAATTTCAGGTATTGCTTGCTAAATTATTGATTTTGGAGAGAAAAAAATTGAAAATAAAACATTCGCTCGCTCGCTTCAATTTGTGTACATAAAAGTCTAAAGAACAAGCATTCAATTTGGAGTGGCCTATTGCGATAGATAATGAAAATAAGACACTATGAATGTGGATCATTTTGCAATAACATAGTTTAACACATTTTTCTTTGTATAACTGTGGTTTCCAAATAACTTTACGTCAATTTTTAAAAGATCTTAAAATATGTTACATTTTAAGTAAATTATCCATTTTTTATCGTGTGTATATCTATTTTTATAGATTATTTTTTTGTTATACATACTTTTACATTAATCCTTTGTTAATGCAAACCCTTGTTACAATATAGAGCAACAAAACTGCCCTGTTCAATAGTTTACTTGTAAGCAGTAACCTTCTATAAATTGAATCTCAAACTGAATTTGAAATAAAGGATACCACAGATAGACCTATGTATGTTAATTCTGTGCATTTTACCTTAAAATAGATAAAAAGCAACAACAAACAGCTAGAGGTTAACACATGGTCTTCAAAATTAGAGTTTCAACACAATATGTCCAACTTCAAATCGACCGACTCTAGATAAGAAAAGTTGAGAGTAACTTGAAAAGAGGCTATCAAAAATATGTCATCGAAACCTACTTCCTGAAAAGACATAAACATTAAGTTATAGGAAAATAAACCACTAGAGAGGTTTCTGTCTTGGGACAGGAACAGTTTACTATTGGTTAAGGTATAAGATAATAATTAACATTTAATTGCGTTTTAAGAGCATTTTTAATACTAAACGAAGAGACGTGTTTTAAATGATGCTTCCCATATTAAATAATACAATATGACAATAATAAAATATATACATTTATGTTTAGAATATTCATATACAAATCCATATAAATTCAAATATATTATCATAATCAAAAGAGTAGAAACATTTTGTTTAATTAGGAGAGAAAATACCACAGAGGAAAATTTATTGTTAAATTTCGTACAAATGATGGGGAGAAAAACTAACCAGTGATGATGAATAGTGGAATGAACATTTTTTTAATTGAAAAATTATCTAACAGTAGGTTTTAAAACAGATATACAAATTATCAAAAGATTCCGTACAAGTTCCCTGGCCTCGAAATTGAAAGAGGAAGATAGTAATGTATTAAAGCACAAACACGAATATGGTATGCAAAAATGCAGTTGAAGTATGCTCGTATGGAGTTGTCTCTCCTTTCCCTCCACAACATTAAAACTAAATATCTCTCTTGCGTTGGTAAGGGATTGGACTGTTTTTGCTTGGGGACTATTTTATGGCTTCCTGCTTTTAGGGATTATAGCATCTTTCGGTGGTCTGGGGAATTCTAGCTCACTGTCTATGCTATGCCCTATTCATGTGTGTCCATCTTCTTGGACACTTCATACTGAACTATTAGTTCGGTCAAGAAAGACAACTCGTACTCAAAAAAGGGAGGTAACTCAATGTTCTTATAAAGGGAAACGAGTTTATCAGTATTTCCGAGGAACATGTTGATTTTTGCACGCCAACTTGTACATAAATAATTAAATATCGGATCACAACAGGTTTTGAATGTTTGATGATCGATATTCACGCTTTAATCCAATAGTATAATAATTTGTAACTTAATAGGAAACCGAGTTTAGAATCAAATTAGAATTATTAGGGTTTTAATATAATAATTTTAATTAGTTTTTATTATACATTTTTATATATGCGTATCTATTGAAAAAATTTCTTTCTTAAATCTTTGAACATTTTTCTAAACATGCAAATTCTGTTAAGAAAAATAGAAGTATTTGATTTTATAAGACAAAATAAATAAAAAAACAGAGAAAAGAAAAAAAAAAGAAATCTGCCCACCTAAAATACTGAATTTTGCCATGTCTGGTTGAA